GGTAATGTTATCCATGAAACTAAACCATTGAAGGTACGTCTTGAAAACCATGAGAGCAATATTATGTTTAATGTTATCAAGACCCCTTCATGTCCTATCATTTTGGGACTATCTTGGCTTGATAGATATAATCCATTGATAGATTGGAAGTTGCAGAAAGTGACATTTCCAACAAACTCCTTGAAGGTGGAATCTCCCAAGACAATGTCTAGAAACAAATCCTTGTTTATAGGTGCAAGGGCTTTCATGAAGGAAGCCAAGCAAAATACACCTCTTGTCATCTTCGCAACTCCGACTCGAGAAGATGCAACTCCGACTTTGGTTATTCCAAAGCAGTGTGAAGAATTCAAAGATGTCTTTGAAAAGAAGAATGCTGATATGCTGCCAGAGCATCGACCCTATGACTGTGCCATTGAATTGCAAGAAGGAGCACAACCACCTTTTGGACCAATCTACAATTTGTCGCAGTTGGAGTTGACTGAGTTACGGAAGTACATTGACGAGAATCTAGCCAAGAACTTCATCCGTCATTTGAAGTCGCCAGCTGGGGCACCAATCTTATTTGTGAAGAAGAAGGATGGCTCACTACGGATGTGCGTGGACTATCGAGGTCTCAACAAGGTGACAAAAAAGAATCGCTACCCACTGCCTTTGATCTCTGGTCTTCTAGAACAACTTGGGCGTGCAAGGATCTTTACAAAGATTGACCTAAGGGGAGCTTACAACCTTGTGCGAATTAAGGAAGGAGATGAATGGAAGACAGCGTTCCGAACAAGGTATGGCCATTTTGAATACAATGTCATACCATTTGGTCTTACTAATGCTCCAGCGGTCTTTCAACACATGATGAATGACATCTTTCGAGAGCATTTAGACGATTTTATTGTCACCTATCTAGATGATATTTTGATATTTTCTAAGAACGAGGAAGAACATGAGAAGCACGTTCGTCTGGTACTCAAAAAACTTCGGGAGCGAGGTCTCTATGCCAAATTGGAGAAGTGTTTATTTCACCAAACTGAGATGGAGTTTTTGGGATTCATCGCGACTACGGAAGGCTTGAAGATGGATCCAAAGAAGGTGGAAGCAATCATGTCTTGGGAAGTTCCGAAGACGGTTAGGGACGTACAATATTTTCTTGGATTTGCTAACTACTATCGGATCTTCATCAAGAATTATTCTCAAGTTGCTGCCCCCCTCACTCGGTTAACGTGTAAAGACAAGCTCGAATGGGGACCTATCGCAGAAAAAGCATTTCAAGATTTGAAGATGGTATTTACTACAACTCCAATCTTGGTACATCCGGACTTTACAAAGGCCTTTTATTTGGAGACAGATGCTTCGGATTTTGCTTTAGGAGCTGTACTTTCACAGATGGGCGTAGATGAGAAGCTCCATCCAGTTGCGTTCTATTCTCGAAAATTCTCTGCTGCTGAGATCCACGATAAGGAACTCCTTGCTATAGTAGATTCTTTCCAAGAGTGGCGCCACTTTCTCGAAGGAACTACACATCCAGTGACCATATATACGGATCACAAGAATTTGGAGTATTTTATGTTGGCTCGGGTTTTGAATCGGCGTCAAGCTCGGTGGAGTATGTCGCTATCCAGGTTTGACTTTGTTATTACTTATCAGCTTGGGAAGCAACAAGGGTTGTCCGATGCATTATCAAGGAGATCATATCTCGCGCCAAAGGCTGGAGATGCAGCATTTGATCAACAGTGCACGACATTGTTGAAGCCAGAGAAATTTCGGCTCAACGCAGCTATTGTACTAATTGATGCTGACTTCCTCGACCAGGTACGGGCCGCAACCATTGAAGATTCTCTAGCCCTTGATATCAAGCAACATGCTAGTGATGATAAATTCAAGATGGAAGGAGATCTAGTATATTTCGAAGACCGGTTGTATATCCCAAAAGGACCAACATGACTCCGAGTTCTTCAATCTCGTCATGACTTTCCAGCTGCGGGACATTTTGGATTCAATAAGACCTTGGAACTTATTTCTCGCGATTTCTGGTGGCCTCAAATGTGGAAGGATGTGAAAGATTTTCTTGTATCTTGTGACATTTGTTCAAGATCCAAAAACCCTCGACATCGGCCTTATGGACTTCTACAGCCATTGCCTATTCCGCGCCGACCATGGTCTTCGGTTTCCATGGACTTTATTACGGATCTACCACCATCGAATTCATTTGACAGCATTTTTGTTGTCGTAGACCGGCTTACAAAGATGGCGCATTTTGTCCCTTGCAAGAAGACATCGTCAAGCGAAGACACAACAAGACTCTTTCTTGATAATGTGTATCGATATCATGGTCTACCAGATGATATCGTATCGGATCGAGGAACCCAGTTTGTGTCAAAGTTTTGGAAATCTCTTTTTGAAATATTGAAGGTGGATATCAAGCTTTCTTCGGCATTTCATCCTGAAACGGACGGCCAAACAGAACGGGTGAATCAAGTTTTAGAGCAATATTTACGTTGCACCATCAACTATCAACAAGATGATTGGATCGCATATCTACCGCTAGTCGAGTTCGCATATAACAACACCCTTCATGCGTCAACTCAACAAACGCCATTCTTTTCCAATTATGGATACCATCCGAAGCTTGACTTATGGAGTTCGTCAACGATTAACAATCCGGCAGCTGAAGGATTGGTGAAGGAGCTTTCGCAGCTTCAAACTACATTGAAGCTTCAATTGCAAACTGCCCAAGAATCTTACAAGGCGTCCGCGGATAAATTTCGGAATCAGGCACCTAAATTCACGATTGGAGACAAAGTTTGGCTGCTTCGACAAAATATTAAGACCAAGCGGCCATGTGACAAATTGGACTATCGGAGATTGGGACCATTTGTTATCTAGAAGCAGATCAATCCTGTAGCGTATCGTCTGGAGTTACCAGCTACTATGAAGGTACATCCTGTCTTTCATGTTTCTTTATTGGAGCCTTATCGAGAATCGTCATTTCTTGGAAGAGTACAATGTCCACCACCTAGCATAAAAATAGAGAACCACGAAGAATACAAGGTGGAAAAGGTCCTGGATTCGCTGCAAAGACGGGGTAAATTAGAATACTTTGTGCATTGGAGCGGTTACGATATTAATGAACGAACATGGGAGCCGACCGAAAATCTCGCGAATGCACCGCAAAAGGTACAGGAGTTTCATCGACGATATCCTGAGAAATCCAAGCCGGTTCGACGATAGCTTCTTACTGAAGCTTACTCATTCAGAAAATAGAAAAGAGGAGAGAGCACCACCAAAATCCATAGTTGATGTAGTCATTCTCTGCAAGATAGCGTAGAACTTTGTTAGTAGCCCAAGTTTGTTCTTATTGTTTTAGCCTTTGAATATAGATAGCCAAGATACTACACTTGTCATGTCATCTCAAGCAACTAGCTCACGAAGACGACCGCGAGATGAAGAACCGCTTGCACCACGACGACGTCGAAGGATTCCGAGCAACAGATCGCTGGTGATTATATTTGAGGTCGAGCCTGCCTACAATGGTCAGCCAGAAGGAGTGTTTGCAGGACAATTTCACAATGAAGACACGGAGGTTCATGCTTGGTCAGAAGTTGAAGGTGTGGGCTACTACCGTTGGCTTCAAGGACCATTGAATCACTTGCCTCGTGAACAACAATTGGAGTTCATAGCAGAGGTTATACGACAGATCTTCATTTTCTTGCGTTGGTATTGATTGACGATAACATTGCTTCTCGGAGACCTCGAAGCTAAAAGAGGAGGTGATGTTAAGGACATAGTCCTTAGACCTTTCTAGAGACAAGTTTCTAGAACCTTCTAGAAAGAAGTCTCTAGAAACTTCCAAAAGATTCCTTGAATATTCTCTTAGAATATTCTTCAAAGATTCTCTAAAGATTCTTTGAAGATTCCCTAAAGATTCCCTTGGAAGGCTCTAGAAGATTCTTAGAATATTCTAGTAGATTCTATGAAGTTACTTGAGAAGCTTCCTAGCTCTTGGGTAGTTGCTCGAGAAGCTTCATAGTTCTTGGGAAGCTTCTTGATGCGCTTCCTTAGAACCATAGGCCAGTAGTATATATAGGAGTCGAGGCTGAAGAATTCTTCAGTCTCGACAACACACTTCTTGAAGCTCTAGCTCAATTCTCTTGGCGTTGCTCTTGTACTCATCTGATAATCTAGTTCTTGTCATTTCTTCTTGAACTTCTTGTTTAGATTTCTTGTTTGTATTTTTGGTCTGTGACACATACACACAAGAAGGTTTCTAAGGAGAGAGAGCTTCACACACACAAATCTATTGATCTGGTTGTATCTCGTATACAAGAAGAGAAAAGATAAGAGGATGAACAGTACTTCTCTACTAGACTCTAAATATTGTAACTATGGTAATTACTGTAGTCTACAATAAATATTATGGAGAGGGTCGGTTATATTTAATGATCTCAACAGTTAGAACTTAGAACTTATCAGTAAACTCAACTTTTTACGCAATCAATACTTTGAAAATTTGAATGAACTTGAACTTAATGCACGCATGGTGAGCTGTAGTTGTGTCTAGATTTGTAAATTAGAATTTGACTCAAGCTAATATACTAATATTACCCACAGGATACAAATTCTCGTGCAATTGAGAAGATTGGAATTTGTTCTTACAAAATCATGTAAAAACAAGCATGTTTCAAACAAGTATGCTTGTGCTAGGGCCATGTGTGGTTGAGTGGTGGAGTCCGTAAGAATGTATATATCATTAACCACATGTGGATGAAGCGCACAGTCACTCTCAGAAACGAAACAAAAGAGTTAGATTTCAATAGCAGTATCAGAGTGTTCAGTCTGCGTTAACTTCAAGTTTTTATTGTGTGAAGATGCACTTGTCTGATTTTACAGATGTTCATTCTCCTGCAACTGTTCATTGTTCGCTGGGTTGCTCACTCCATACAAATCATTTAAATAAGACGTTTTGCGATGCTACTACTTATACGGAATGAAACAATCTTCATAGAATTGAGTCATAAACGGCAAAACGGTGCAATTCCACTTCTGAAACTTATTGTGATTCTAATCGACGAGATTTCACCTGTAATCTCAGAAAGCTTTTGATTCATTCCTACAACACTGTAGATATGAATATGTCGAGAACTAAAGATAGATTTAGGACTATATGAGATCTCTTAGACAGTTTTTTCACATTTTAAATTCGAAAACGGATGTCAAATTGTGAGAACTTTACAGTCCCACAATCATTGTAGACTGAGACACCTCCGTAAGTAATTAAAACTACAAATTAAAAAAAATCTGAGAATTGTCAGGTCCTCCAAAAAGGAATTACAATTCACCGGCTTTGAGCCGATACTTTCTATACGGTTTTGAAAACTAAAGCGCTCTCAGGTTGGTGACATTTTTCATGCCGCCTTGGCATACATCTAGGCAGATTCAGCCGCATATAGAGCCTTAATTTCCTCAACATCATCGGAGCTTCCCAAGAAAATGGGTGATCTATCATGGATATGTGCTGGGACCAATTCGAGAGCCTACAAAATCAACGAGGCAATTAGCATAATATACGGAAGTCGCGACAGTAGAAATTGATGCTGACCGTAATGCGACAACAGTGTCCTGCACAATAGCTGTTAAGTAGTCATCACAAACAACGGTTCTAATCAAATACTGCCTTTTACACGTGGAATAAACTTTTCGAGAATCATCACAAAGAATTCATCCATTAATGAAATTTAGAAACGCCACTATTAAAAAAAAGATTTGAACACTTACACGCTGCTTGCCAGTAAAGGATTGGCCCCCAGCTTGCTCCACCAAGAAAGACATGGGGAAAACCTCGTACAGAACTCTGAAGCACAACATTTTTACAACATTATCGTCACTGCATCCATGTGGAACAGAACTCACCTAAACCGATAAAATGTCAGACGAACAAGCACCATTGAAATTTGTCAATAGTCAACACTGATCCTTCATGCAGAAGGAACAACAAAGTTGAAGTTTGATTAATACCTGAGCTTTCCTTTGGGGCTTTTCTTGTCACCAGGGTACATAAAGATACCTCCGTAAAGTAGAGTTCTGTGGACGTCTGCTACCATACTGAAGAAGCAAAAATCCACAACACGGTATTCAACCACAAAAGCTTGAGTGTTGTAGAGTGCCTTCTGAAACATCAGACGTTTACTACATAATAGTTTATCTTCACCTGTCCAATCGTTCGCTATGAGCATTTTCATTTAAAGATTGGGTGTTGAATGAATTAGTACCTTCCAATGTATCGCAATGATTTGGGTGATGACCCATCCTTGGGAAACTTGGCGTTCTCCACATACTTCGTTGTGGGCCCGTCCCAGTGTTTGGCATTTCCTTCATTCACAGAGTAAATCTTGCCCTTTTTGGGAATCTGACGAAGCAAATAGAAACGATCAGATTAACAGTTGCAAATGATGGAAGGTCATAAGCCAACTGGACTTTACAAGAACAAATCATCAAAAACCAAGTGTAATTATCATAAAGCAAAAATCACGAATGCATAAATATCACAGAAATACTGCACCGTGAAATCGAAGACTGTCAAATGATCTCATAGATGATCTTGTTTATACAAAAAAACATTTTCTTTTGAACAATCACAACGAAAGAACATTTACATTCATTACAAAATCAACCACATTAAATTTTTTAAAATTACCTTGATATTAGGGTGCGTCAAGATGAATTCTCCGAGGGAGGGATCAAGGGTGAATCCATTAACCCCTGCACCTGTGCTCAGTACCAACTGCAAAAGATAATAACCTCGTCAATGAGACTTCAGATACAACGGGTACTAATCACCACTACAAACAATAGTGAAATCTGATAAGCAACGAATGGACAAAAGACTTGATAAGCTCATGATTAGCTGACGCGGCTAATCGAATTGTTTATTTGACGATTAGTCATCCAAGTTCGGTGATTGCTTAAACATCAAGTGCAATTGCACGTCTTAAGCAATTCAGTCACTTCACAAGGGCAGAGTCCTTACGGTGCATGAACTTCCATACATACAATAGCCAGCAGCAAGCATTGCAGTGCCAGGCTGCAACACATCCTCAACAGTGCCTGATGCTCCTTCCTTGAGCATATAGATTCCAAAAATCTGAGACCCAAGTAATCAATAAATCAGCTTAAAATCAAGGTTTTTCAAAACGTCTTTTTAAAAGGGTATTTCGAACATATTGAACCGTAAATAAGCCAGTATTTAAAATGTTTGTTCAGTTTTCTGGACGATGTGCTTTGTGTGCTTCCGTTAAACAACATGCCTTAAAGAATGCACCACAATAGAATTGACGTGACGAAGTACATATGAATGTCAAAACTACATAATACTAGCACTTAATGCTATAAATGACCAAACCAGAAGAAACAATTAATATTGTGATGAGAATTTTAGTGCGCTTTACCGTTCCAATAGAAACTCCGCAGTCGATGTTGGAAGATCCATCAAGTGGATCGAACACAACGCAGTATCTCCCTCTTTTAGAGGACTCTACAAAAATCGCTTCTTCGTTTTCTTCAGACACAAGAACATTCTGCAAAAACGTGAACAAAATGCAGATCAAATACAGGGACTAACAGAAACATGTAAGGAAATATGAAGATCATTCTAGAGTAAAAAAAGAGGCGAACATTCCATAAAACTGCTAAAATCCCACTAAACAGCTAACTACCCGGTCCACTTCATCCACACTCATAACCCACAACTCACGGATGATCTAACACGAAGTAAAAAGCTTGAAGACTTACTGTGCGTCCACTGCTAACGAGAGCGTTGATGAAGACATGATTCGACAAGACATCGAGCTTTTTCTGCTCCTCGCCCTGCAATTGCACAGAAACATCCAAACCAAACTCGTCTTATTCAGGACCAAGGACACTCACAAGTGACATCTTTCAAAACCAAATATGATAGGGTCTAAATCACTCTGAAACTAGTACCATCAGCTGGAGGTCACGAGAACCTGCATTGTCCGAAACTTGTTTTTGACAAAACTAGTCGAAGCTCTAGGATAAAAACCCAAGCAATGGGAGTGGTGTTCTCCTCGCACTTACTGATAACTCGGAGGAAGGTTATGGATTCACCACAGATCTCCACGTTTAGACCCGCTCACGGTTAAGATACTTCATTCGAAAAAAATCTAACACTGTACATGACTGATTAGAGCAGAAAAAAAATCTATACATTTTGAGCTGAAATTACCTGCACATTGGTTTCTCCTGCCAATCCAATAAGTTTAGCTAATCCAGCCTGTGGAATATCCACCAAACGATTCGTTAGCCCTCAATGAAATAAATGTAACTTGACACAGCCCCAAAGGCATAGAGGTGGAATGCTGATGATAAAAAATCAAATCAAATCAAATCAAATCAAATATAAAATTTCAAAATTCAAGATTTAAGATCAGACCGAAAACGGCTGATTCTCATGGATAGTCCGTCTCTACAATCCGCAGCAGATGTACAGATATACAGTTTTTGTGAAGTCGATCCCATGAAAATTACTAATTACCAGATAGCTGAGTTTGAAGGGATGCATTTGACACAGACGAGGCAGCTGCTACAACTAAAGACACCCATTCACAAATAAAATTGAAAATGCTGATTCACTTATCACTCCTTTATTTCCAGCACAATGTACTCTTCCCGATAGGGACTGGGAACTAGACTAAGAAATCTCAAACTGAATATAGTGTTGCAAAATTGTGCAAGTACGAAGACGATACCTTGCTCACGGAGGAGCACACGAACTTGCAGCCCAGCACGATGTTGTTAAGGAGGATTGTGAGATCGCCACGAGCCTCTGGAAATCTACTCTGCTCATTCAGGACGTGCCGAGTAATGGTCATTAGATCCGTCCTCATAGCATCCGCAGCGTGATCCATGGCTACGAGATCTGCACAGTTCCTTCCACAAAACTAGCTTCACGACTAGAACCTGTACACACAAGGCGAATTACAACAGATCAAATTAGTCGCATGCCAGGGGAAAAAAAAAAAAAAAAAAAAAAAAAAAAAAACTCACAAAAAATAGAAGAAAAACTAAAAGATCAAACTGATCATTCTTGTCACTTCATTCTACTTGCAACAACAGGAAAAGTAACTTTATTCCAAACACTCTAAATAAATAACTAACTATCCAGAGCGAGAAAAAAAGATTAAAACATTACATATACCACTAAATTATCACTACAAGTCCACGCGAAGCTCACGCGAAGCTCAAAATGCTCCGCAAACGAGGTTTAACACCGTTAGTACGTCCCAAAAGAGCACACAATCACAGAAAACTAAAATAATTGGCACATTTGTGCAAGTTCGAATGTCTCCAGCGAACCGCTGACACTTCCTCAATTCTCCTCCAAAATCAGCGACGCTAGCGGCATGAAGAACACAGCATACGATCGCTTGTAAAGAATTCAGAAACGCACCAAAAGGAGAAGGAGCCCACTTACCTCGAGAGGAATGCTTGACGCAAAAGACGACGCTCAACTTTTACAAAAGCGAGGAGCTCCTGATTAGAAACCAACTCTGTCTCGCAGGAAGTCGCTTTGAGAGAACGAAGGAGGCGACTGCCGAGCCTCGAGGTTCTGCACAATGTGTGGGTTCGGCCTCCGGCTCGGTGTAGACGTGGTGGCAGCCTCGGAACCGGGGTGGTGGGTCCCCGTGTGCCGTCTTTGCAGATAAGGTAAAAGATGGGGGGTCGGGTTGGGATGGGATGAGTTCCGAGTTCGACCCCCACCATTGAAACCTTCTGTGGTCTGGGATTGAGAGATATTATGCACTTTGCGATTGAACGAATATAAAGGCATTATGCTTTCCACTCGCTGGCCACCATTGGCCCACAGTGCTTGTGGTGAGCATTCCCACAAAAATGAAATCTATCACTTGGTTACTGAGCCTTAACTCTCTCTCCATGTGCTTAGTGCTTTCTACTGAGTAACTTGAAAATGCCCCAAAAATTGTATAAATTAAAAGAGTAAGGTGATGTGTGATACAAGGCTTGTGACTCATTCCCTTGTCACACACATGGACCACGGTGTCGTGCTTACCTCATTTTTTCCTATTCTGGTGTTCCCCTGAGTGGGTGATGCTTATCTCACATGTAAGCAGGGGATTCTCGAAATGGGTAGTACGTTCCCCATCCCCATTTGGGAACCTGAATGGGGGGAACTAACCAGTGGTGGACTATGAAGGTCAAGGAAGTGAAGTGAAGTTCATGTTCTCTGAATGATCCGAGCTGGCTTTTAAGAACAGTGTTCGTATTTAGCCACGTGGATTAACAGATGGCGTTCGCCACCGTGAGGGCGGTTTCTGGTCATTAACTTGCCGCCATGAGTTTCGGGCCACCCCAATTTCCCACCGGCGGTTTCCACTCCGTTGCATGGCCGCACACGATCAGCCTCTTGGTAGAGATTTTGCGTCAGGGGTCCAAGTAACCCATCACCTCTGAAGTCTATCAGGTGTGAGTTAGCTCCGTCCCAAGTGTGCACCATTCCAGAGCATTCGAAGGGCAGTAAGATCCGGGAACAGCAGCCAGAACTCTCGCTCTTGTTCAGTTTGTTGCACTGCAAGCATTAGATCCATCCTTACAAGGAAAACGCTCGCATGGGTAAATGTGAATTGTTTACAACTCAGATTTGAGCAGACCTTGTGATGAGAACAGAAGACGGTTGAGTCCTCGTGTTTGACAATTTCTAATTCACAATCAGACAATGTTTGTACACAAGGTGCACTACTGAGCCAACCACTGGCAGACTAGTCGAGCAGACATTATTTGTATCCACAATTTTGGATGACTGTTGGGGCTTGACGTCGTTGTTGTTGTCGTTGTTGTTCAGTTCACAGCAGAGCACACTCTCCGAATTTCTCCTTCGGTGCCCAGCTTCACCCCAAAGCGGCCCATTTTGAGCATGGCTGCAGCGAACCGCTCGAAAAAAACAGTTCGGTTTTGGGCATACTCCTTCACGTACCGTCCTGTTTTCGCGTTGACGAGCAGGGACGAATCCGATGTCAAAATGCCTCGATCTTGCAACACCGCCGTGTAGTAGTGCTCGTCGAACTGGTCGGGGGTGATGGGCTCCGTCGGGATGCGTGATGTGCCGTCCACGGGTTGGGGACACATTGTGCGCAGCTTGGTAGCGTAGGTGTCAGAGAGTAGAGGATCGTACCCCGTTGTGCTGTTGAACCCAAAGAATCGTCTTGCCACTTGCGCACAATGCACTCTTCCAAAAGTGTGCGCCCCAGACAATGTGGCCATGTCGCGGGGAGTCAAGCCCAGCGCAGCGAACTGCGTGATGAGAGACTCGGCAGTGGATTGCGAAGACGGTAGCTGACTTCCTGCTTGATCAGCTCTGGAAATGCGGCCGTCTCTTCGCCCAAGCTCTACATGCCATGTTGGCCCTCCTGCCTGTTCAAATCGATGAGTAAACGAATCAGAATTCCATTCATTATCGTCCCTGCAGCGTATAATCAATCTCTGTGACATAGATGTTCATGAACGTAGCAAATCGTGAAGAAAACGATTATCAAGGATCTGTAGCAAAAATTACCAGCACAACTGCATCACGGCTTGCGAGAGCAATAATGTCGGCACAGGACACAATGCCGGGGCACATGACCTCAACCTGGCTCTTGATGTCATCGACGATATGGTATCCTCTCACGGTCTGGTTCGGTATTGCATCGCGCTCTGCGGTGTTGTTAGGAGTTGAATCGATCAACACTGACGCATCGCATCCCTGTGAATTAAGATCATTGCCACTGCATCATTGAATGAATACTTACGCATCCGTTAAATTGAACTTGATTCAGATCCGCACTGCAAAAACTGATAGTTATGAAGAGAATTATTTGCCTTAAGTTCTGGTTTCTCGAGCTCCTTTCTGCCACTTACCCAGTGTACTAAAGCGAGCTCATAATGAATGAAGGGTACCAGGCGAATAGTTAGTTCACGAGATCAAGGTTGGAATGGCAGCTCACATTGACAGCACAATCGTGGAAGAACATGCGAAGCAGAGGAGCACCAGAAGCGATGTTTTGTTGCAAGTGCCTAGCCATAGTGGACGACACTACATGCTCCAATCTCGGACAACTATGGCTATAGAATAATCTGTTCAGCTTAGGTCTCGTACTTGCGTTGACAGCGCGACCTTCAGCATTAGAACTAACCGCGACCCAGCATAAAACCCAACAGCAGAAAAATGCAGCTTCCCATTTGAATCCTTCCCCGATCTGAAAATGCGCCATCGCAAGGAAGAAACCAAAGTTGTCGTAACTTAGCGATCGATCAACTATTTCGAAAAACAGATCCAATGTCAATGTTGTGGACCTCGATCACAATCCACTTCAGTTTTACTGTTCTGACTAATTCTGAGCAGTCTCGACCGATTGCGAACCAAAAACCAGGACAACTCTCCTCATCTTCAAGAAAAAATCCACTCAACCTGCACAGTGCTTTGGCCACAACACTGAAAAGACTTGAAATCAACAACCATAGCCGCAGCACTTGATGTGTGCAATCAATGACCATCACGCGCTAGAGCGAAACCGTAACAATGCAGCCACATCGTCCGCACCCTCCTACTTAATGTAATTTTAAACACATGAGAGATCAGCTGCACAGTTTCCATTCTCAACTCCCTCCTGGACTGTCGTGTCCCAGCATGTTTGGAGGTAACATGAAAAGATGCGACTTGCACCCAGTTTTGCTACCTGGGGCTTTTCCAGGAACTCAATGATCAATGACACCAGATGGGCAGCAAGCAACATTCGGCGAATGTGAACAGCACGTGGAGAAGGCGAATAATTTAGTACTCTGCTGCAGATGACTGATAATCACCTTCAGCTTGGCGGTGACTGCAGTAACGAAACCAGCCAGCTTGGAATTAACATCGGGTGTGGTGTGTCGGAGGTTGAACACCACGGAGCAAGGCAGTGCAATTGCAAAAGACTCTGCAGAAGGAGCCAAAGCTGGACCCAGCTGGACGACAGGGACAGGAGGACCGTGGCCATCACCATCGCTGCAAAGACGCACTGTTACTTAAGCACAATACCACTTAATTGTTAAGCTTACAATGCTCATCTCCAGGAAAACACTTGTGGAAGCGTCTTCTGTCCCCGCCGCCAGCCCTTCCTCTTGTTTCACGTCATTCTCTCTCCTCGCTCCCATAATATGGAGCTCGGTAGTATCTCAGATATCTTGCCATGTTCAGGTACCGGCTCTAAAGCAAAGTATGCCATGGAAGCGGCTTGAGAGGAACACTCGCTGCGAACCGTGTTCTTGTCAAGGCTCTCACACGAAGCCAACTTGAAATCGGCTTTTAAACTCAGCTTCAGCAGCAACTCAGACGCAATCGGCTCGTCGTAAAAGCAAATCCTGATCAGAATCTCGTTTGACGTGCACCATCTCAACGTCCGTCAACCATGCTGCTCCTGTTTATCGCAATCCATACGCATCAGGAGAGTTGGGTAAGGGCGAGATCATTACCGCAGAGCTGGGTTTGCAGAATTCGACTAACCTCGGTACGGGAGATCAGTAATGACAGCGCAGTGGAGGGGGATTTCGTCCCAAGTCGTCTCCATTACATCGTCATCGTCATCGTCATCTCTGGCGCCCTTCACGACACTGCATGGGACTCCGCCCACCGTCCTTCTACCTTTACATTCATCCTGCACGGGACGTGAGCAATGCAGGCGCCTCGTAGCGATGAAATCTGCATTCAGTGCGAGTGGGACGTCGCTGGAAAGAAACTCCTCGTTCTGTTAGATCTGTCGCTCTCGCCACTACCACTACCTCCCATGAAGCTGGCCTCGCAACAATGACACGGTCTTGGGACTCCCTTCCTCACTAACGTCTCGGAACGTGACGATCGAAGCCCACTCTCGTCCGCCACGCAAGCCCTCAGCCTCGTCTCAAAGTCCCCCTCCCTCCTCTAACATTTTGCATTCAAGAGTATTTCATGTGCATTCCCACCCTAAAACTTAGTAACTCACAGGCATTTAGGTTGCAAGCGATGTGTGTAATGTTCTTGGAATACACTTTTCACAATACTACTCATACTTGAAATCTATTATGTAAAACAACTCAAGGGGATAAATCAAAGGGATAATTCAGAATAGACAAAAAGCATCTCTAATTGGCTGCACATCTCATTGTTTTCATCAAAAGTGAAGCAATAACTCAACTTTTGAGATCAAATCTGTATGATGTTGCTACAGATTGCCAAGAATAGCATTGCAAGATCATTGTGCATGGAGCTTGGAAGCTCTCAACGAATAAATAAACTAATAAATATTAACCATTGGCCAATTGTATTATGGCCAAAAACCTAAGTTTCTATCAGTGTAGTGCAATATGTGAAGGACAAAGTTTAGTTCTGTACATAGTGTGTTGAGCAGATTTCACACCAACTAGATTTTTAATTACATTTCATTGTAAGAAAGCATAAATCAAAGGTAACGATCTTCGGATCATTGAAATTGTCGATTTAGTTAAGAACAAAACTACATGGTTTATTCTTATTGAAGGTTTTATTATTGATTTTTTTACTATTTGTTCTGCAACACCAGTAAAATATTATTCAATCACGTGATATTTAATTTAACAATTGAAAAAATACTGATTCATGTTTACATGTGTATATTGTATTACTGATTCATGTAAACCATGTTCCAAATGAATGGTACAAAGAAAATTAAAACAAATGCGTGTTTTTTTAATAAAGTGTTGACACGAGATATATAATTTTGAATTGTTTAAATTTTAAAGAATGAAAAGACAACTAACAATCATTGATAATAATTACAGCTTTAGTAATTTATATTTTTCAAAAATGATTTGCATAATGCACAATTCATTAAAAGAGCCATGTAAAACGATTGAGTGCATAAAAATTAATTTATTTATTTTATAGTTCATTCTTAGGAAAGCTGTTACCTGTTTGTTTGGTTTTGTGTTTTTTTCTATTTTTCTCGTGTCTTTGTGTCGCAAACACATAAATATAAGTTGATTAAAAATGTACTGTGTTCAATCTTTCAGGTGTTCTTATTATGATCATTTTTTATATTTACATTCTTATGTTGTATTTAATCATGCGGTTGTCTTATTGTAAAAAATATCTGAGACATGTAATTACATAATAGTTGGAATGTATGCATCATGCACACAATCTTGATTATCTGGTATTTCATACTTATTTTAAATAATGAAGAAAAATGAATTGGAGAATAGTTTTTGTACAAATCAAAAGATTGATTTGATTGTAAGTTTACAAAATTTGAGTAATAAAATAATATTTTTTTATGAAACAATTTTCCTATGATACTTCATATATATATATATATATATATTCATACATACACACACATATAGAGTTACATAATTATCACTAATATAATGAATTTGGTGTATGTTTTAGTATGATACAGGTTTTCTCGTTGCATTATTTATAAATTTTACATTTTAAAACTTTCTGCTCCGTCTATACTTTCTATTAAAAATTGACAATCTCTGGTAAGGCATGTGACCTTACGTTACAAACACAATTATAAAAGTTACTCAAATGTAAATTTAACTATTCATAAAAGCCAAATGCACTCTAAGTTAAAAAAGAAGAAGAAGAAGTAGAAGCAATGGGATGAATGATTATCACAAGAAATCAATTTGTTAATTTTTAATAAATAAATTATATATATATATATATATATATTATTGCATGGCAATAAATAAGAGAATAGTAAAGGAGTTCGGACACCGAGGCTAGGAGGTTCGGAGAGGTTTTAGGGTTGGGAAATGCCCGAACGGGAGCCAGGAGGCAGGAACTGAATCTCACGGAACCACTCTAAGGTTTTCCCTTTTGCTCTCGCGCTCTGTGTTGCGTCGCTGCTCCCCCTCTGCCCTTCATCGCTGCGCATTGCTGGTGTTGTTGTTGTCGTTCTTTTCGCAACTTCAATTCCAGGTTCTCAGCCATGGTGCGCATCAGCGTCCTCAACGATGCCCTAAAGAACATGTTCAACGCTGAGAAGCGCGGCAAGAGGCAGGTGCTCATCCGCCCTTCCTCCAAGGTTGTCATTAAGTTCCTCTCCGTCATGCAGAAGCACGGTGAGAACGTCTTTCCACTTAAAAAAACTCTCGTATCGCGCTGTGGTTTCCTTTCTGTATTTCTCCACATTTCTGTTACGATATCGATGAGATGTAATGAATTAGGAACTGATGTTCAAACACTGGACGATTCGAGTCTAAGGACTGTGAGTTATTTTCTACATCAGGCAATGGAAAATAACTCATGACTGATAGTATCGTAACAGGCTTTTTGTTGTGTTGAATTTGCGGGTGCTTCTAGTATGAGTTAGATCTTTGAGAAGAAGCACGTATGTCTGGGGTTTTGATATGAACTAGTGACAGCGACTTACGGGAGTTTTAACGTTATGGTTCGTAGGGCCAACTGAGTGAATATGTTAATCACGTCAGTTTGCTTTTTTTGACCTTGGTGGTCGTAGTGATTTCTACTGTACTTCAATTTTCATTGAATCCTAATTTTCGTCGAAGTGTGTGTTAATTGATTATTATTACAGTAGAGGAGGGTGTGACACATGCCTTTTATGTTGGAACGAATTGTTTCTTTAAATGTAAAAGAATCCTGCGGATTTACACTAACATGCACTTTTCTGTATGTCATCCCTCGCAGGATATATTGGAGAGTTTGAACTGGTTGATGACCACAGAGCGGGGAAAATCGTGGTGGAGCTGAACGGTAGATTGAACAAGTGCGGTGTTATCAGTCCCCGGTACAATGTCGGGGTTGGTGAACTCGAAGCCTGGACTGCCCGACTTCTTCCATCTCGTCAGGTATGTGTACCTCAATTTCCTGTCGTGGGTGAATCTAGTGTTTTTCTGAAACACCATCTGCTCAAATGTTGGGTTTGGTCGATCAGATTCCTCGTCACTTTCATTCGCAACGATCAAGCGTTAATCCTCCTCAAGAGGATTTCATGTTACCGCTGCTTTTAGGTATGAACCTGAAATCTGATTGTTGAGTTTTTCATCTTTTTTGCAGTTTGGATACATTGTTTTGACCACCTCAGCTGGCATCATGGACCACGACGAGGCTAGAAGGAAGAATGTTGGAGGAAAGGTCCTTGGTTTCTTTTACTGAGGACCTGATTTTGATAAACCCAGAATCTCTACCTGTGCATAGGTTTGAAAGAGGGTTGCATGCAGTTAGTCATGGCAAATCTGTCAAAGATGTGGCGTCAGAGTCGGAACAAAACATAATACGAAAACGTATCGTTTCACAAATTTTGGCATCATCTTCTCTACGTTCATCGTTAAACCCTTCCTTTTTTCGGAATCAGTTGCTGCTGTGTTTTATTTAGAGGAAAGTTTTCTTATTTCAGTAACGACTGTGAATTATGGATCCTTATCGTGGGGGGGGGGGTGCCGAATTAGAGTCGTTTATGGAGTTGTTTACGAATCAGATTTATCATTGCGTGTTACCTTCGCATTCTTATCTGATGTTTGAAAGAGCTTACCTACCTGTCTGTGTTTTAAGTTTTTCCGAACAGTGCATTTGTGGAGTCGTGTGAACTCAACTTCACACAACTAGATTCGTCCACACCTGCCAAATTTCACTGGCGAGCACAGGTCCGTTATGACCTGGTAGCTTTTTTGTAAAGTTTTAATGTTGTTGCGTCTGCCTATGTCATTTTTCCATCCTATTGTTTCCTGTTCAGAAGGGTAATGGAAGCTAGCAGTTCTAGGACAATTTTTGTTCTGGAGGAATCAATTTGCTTCTCGGCTATCGGACTCTCAATCTTATTTTTGTTAGCTTAGAAACGACGAGTAGCAGAATGATGAGACATTTTTTTACATCCCTTCACATCTTCAATGTGAAAATATTTTGGAAAGAATCAGCAAATGTAAAGTTCGTGGAAGATTACGCGTTGTCTGATATGTAGTTGAGTTAATCATTCGATGGGTGGTGTGATGTTCGTGAAATCTATGGGTTGTTCAGTTTGTAGTGCAGCGAATTGTTGTGTTAGTGACGGGGAACTAAAATTTTTTAATTTATCTGGGTCTCCTCTATCTTCGTGCCATGTTTCTAGACCAGCGCTAGATGATAGTTGAATGTCTGGTGAGCTTCAGACTGGAATTGCTTAGGCATCCACAGAGTAGTTGTGACCAAAGAATCGTGAAAAGATGTTAAAAATATTATCCTATTGCGCCTTCCACTGAAAGGAAACCGAACGAAACTCTCATTTTATGGCTCTGCTATGACCTAGCCTAATCTAGTACCCACTAGTAGCGTCACTTGCCATGTGGAGTAAATATATTTCCCGCTGGTTACCGTCTTTTTCTTCTGAGGTTGCTTCCTGTATTAAATGGCCTATGCTTACGAATGTTTTTGGAGTTGCGACCAGGACTAAAAGAATGGCTTTCTGGGAATGAGAGGGCAGGACATCACATTTGACATGGCAGACCAAATGTGTGGAGTTATAGCTAGTGAGCTTACACACCTTGCCATGTCACCCTGGGGTGTCTTCCTTATCTGGCAGGCAACCTCTACACATGTGGTAGGGTGGCTCCCAACCTGCCATACAGGCACTGTGGTGTAACTTAAACAGCAAGTTTTCTACCATGATGTGGAACAACCTATGGATGTCACGAACATCACACCACCCATGGAATGATCAACTGATTTCTTCTACAAAACTGGTCCAAAAGTGATCAGCATAGGTGACACATAATGCTGTGTTTACTAGTTCTAAACTAGTACTCACTGGCAGCTGAGAACTGAGCAAGGCAAGCACCCCATGTTGCATACACTCATGGGCATGAGAACCCACCCTTCCAAGGTGCATAGGCAACACATGGAACAAAAGACAGCATCCTGCAAAAGAGGAAAAAAGTGCTGTGGATGATAATTAATCAGTGTCACTTTTTCCTCTTTAACGATTATTCACTCTTAATATTTTATCATTGTGATTCTTTTCCCTGTGTGTAGAAATAATCATGTGACCCCATTTGCGAAATTGTAGTGAACATCAACCCATGCAGAGTCTTTTTGGGTCACAAACTCGGCCATTGATTGCGTCCCACCCACTTCCTTAAAACATGGGTAGAATAGATTACTCAGCAACTATTCTTAAAAACCTCCCTTGCTTTGAATGCCCGAGTGCACAACCGTGGTCCGCCTTTGGTTGTAGGGTGTGGCCGTGATTCCTTGCCAGCCACCTCAGCATGACTTGGCTCCACGTAAGCACCTCTTCGACACAATACAATCCTAGCTAGCAGTCTGCGCGGTACTTATTTCTTTATTACTGGAGAGCTTGCAAAACTGCCATTCAAACCTGGCATTTGCGGTGGGAGAATGATGCAGTGGCAGACGGCACATGGACTGAGAAGAGGAGGAGCGCGGCCACAGAAACCGACCCTGTAACCGACCGTCCTACGCTCCCACTCACGCATGTCGTTTTCAAGTGGGTATTTTAGTCCCTTTTATTTTCCAATCATGAACCGCGTATTATTAGGGGGCTGTCCACTGGCTGCTGTTTAATAAACCACAACCCACCAAAAATTGGGGTCGAGGCTGGAAATTGAATGGGCACCAAATAAGTGGACACCATTGGCCCGAGAGGTAAGCAGGGCTTGATATTTTTTTTCAAGGTAGATCCAGACGGCAAATGGGTGATGTGCAAAGCGCCACCTTTAACAATGTGTTTTTGTTCCCCCCCCTCCCCCCACTTCCTATTTCTCTATTTTGTTGGTTGCATTGTTTTATTTGGAGTTATTTTCTTCTTTTCAAAATATATTATTATTATTATTAACCGTCCTCGGCGTCTGAGACCGCCAGCCAAGCGTGCGAACGTCTTCCGGTCGCCGCTTTTACCAACTCTGGCTCTTCACATGGATGAAGAACCAGGACCCCATCATATAACTTTCATTCATTTGTCAGGCACGGCCGCTCTGTCGTACCCTCGCCACCACTTGACAGCCCCCACCTTTCCCGACTCTGTCCCAGTCATCTACCGGTTAGACCTGCAGGCACTCCCTCCGCTGGACGCCGTCCATATCGGGCTCCAGCCTCCACCCTCCTCGGGTTCCACCGTTCTTGACGACCACCCGCGTTCGGATTTCGAATGAACGCTTGGATGGATGAATTTATGGCTGAATGTATGTTGGGTGTGCTTGAGGACAAACGTTCATTGTTCTGCGGCAATAATTTCGAGATTCTTCAACTTGGGTTATTAAGTTCGACATGGAGCTTTATTTTAGTTTTTTAATTTTTTAAATAAAATTTATTTTATTTATTTTTCTTTCGAAATACCCTCTATGGTTATTATTTCATGAGCGAATCTTGGTGCGTTGTTTTGGTAGTAGTAGTCACGAAGTATAAAATAGGTATTTAAAATGAAATAAGACTTGACCAGATAGCCATTACAGTTTATATAACCATACAGTTGTAATTGTATATCTAGAAATAAAATAAATAAAATGTAGCTTAAATTAAACAGAAGTTTGTTGATCGATGTTCATCCATATTAAGCAGCGATGGTTGGCAATATGATTGTTGTACAACTAAGCATCAATGATAAATAGAAAACTTTGTTCAAATTGGTAATCCTTTCTTGTGCTTATTTGTGTGAGCAAACTTTGAATATTTCTTAGATCATACCAAATCTTAGTTTGTATTTCTTAGTATTTTCGCTTTGGTTATTGACAATAGTTGTCACTTAAATCCATCAATAAAAATTTTAAATTTTAAATTCAGAACTTCATATCAGATGCACTCATTTGATCAATTTGATTACGGTGACACTCGAAAGGATAATCTTGTTGATTGTATAAAACAATGACAAGTATGTACAAGTATATCTTGGTTACAATAAATCATTTTATGAAAAAATAAATTAATTAACATGGTTATATATACAGCCATTTAGTGATTTATTATTAGTATTATTATTTTACAAATGGCGTTCTTTTCGTATAACATATTATGATAAACAAAACGCAAACTTTGAATAAGAAACTTGATATATAATAGACCATATTATAGTTGTAGTTTGATGTTAATTTTGTTTCTGGTAGATTCTGATCTAGATAAAGTGAGAAATTTCAGTCGTTTAGAAAAATTGACAAAAGTACTCAGGCATTTTTTGTGGCCTTATCGAAAGTTTAACAATAATTTTACAGTAAAGCCATTTCACACAATAATAAAATGAATAAAATGAAAATTTGTGATAAAGAAATATATATATATATATATATATAATATATATATATATATAATATATATAATAAATAACATTATTATAAAATCTCAGAAAATCACATGACAAATTATGCACTTCTTCAATAAAAAGTTTTCTGCAACATTTTATGATTGTCTAAAGCATATTGTCACATTTGCAAACTAAGATTTGGTATGATCATGCCAACACCAAATTGTGCACATGCAAAGTAAAACAAAAGTCCAACTATTCATTCACCCTTTCCATGTGTTTATAAACATTTATTTACACAAATTTAATGCACACTCAACACCTTTTACATAAACAAAACAGAAACCCCCAAAAAAAAAAAAAAAAAAAAAAAAAAAAGGCATGTGAATCACAACATGAAATGGAAAAAGAATGCAAAACTAGTGTAAAAGGACCTTTCAAGCAAGAGTAAGATAAATGAACTAGCAAGAGTGGGGAATGGGGCGCAAAAGTGATGTGGGTTTATAGTATGATTGCCCAAACAAATGAGGGTGGGGGTAAGAGTCATGCAATGGGTGTATGTGTATGTGATCCGAGATGCAAAGGCTTACGCTCAAAGGTGTTGAATCCCTCCTTCACAAGGCTCGTCCATTGTCCCAAATGGGTGGCCGCCACCACCACCACCAAGTCAGTCAAGCAGCAATTGAAAGAGTGAGAAAGAGAGTGAGACACACACACACACAGTGCAATAGATGAAGAGTGAGAGTTCATTGGGGGGCGCACATTTTACAAGTATCACAGCACTTTGTGATTGGTTTTGAGTGTCCAAAAGAATGGAAAAGTGTAGAGAAAAAGGAAGGGAAGAAAGCCCTTGTATTAGGGTTAGGGTAGACTAGGGTCTTAGACCCAACACAAAGTGAGAAAACATTCATCTTCTGAAAAGAGAGTGAAAAGGAGGAGGAGGAGGTGGTGGTGGTGTGTGGTTAACATGAGTCAATGATTCCAGTGCGTTCCTTTGCAAAGCACCTCATTTCTTTCCCTTGGAACTTGGCCACACATGAGCTTCATGGTGGACATTCTTCCTGTCTTTTATTTGTTTATGTATTTAGTTCATTTGTCTGTCTGTTGTCTTTCTTCCTCTCTTTCAAAGATGGCAGTGTCGTGCATGCCGTACCTGAATCAAGCTATTCCTCTGGCTTATGATAAGTGAGCTTTTTGGCATCTCCCTAGGGCAATGGAAACACAAAAGCCGTCATAATAGGACCCTGGGCCTGAAGGGTCTGGGAAGAAGAAGAGGCAGGAAGAAGACAAGGAGCCCAGATGTGGGGCCAGGCTTGAGATATAGCTTGTGGGTCCACACAAAAAAAACAGAATAGAAAACCATGGCATATATTGTCCTAATAAGTCCAAGCTCTTATGAAGTATACACTTGAAATTTATTATATGTATAATTTGGATGCACACATTCCTGTTTTTTTCCACACAGCATATGAAGATGAATCTTCTTGTTCTACTTCTTCTACTCCCAATGCAAGTCAACAAATGCATTCGAGAATATGCATGCAGTTGGCTTCCTACCCAACATGGGATGTTTTGAAGAGCATTTTTCATAGCTTTGTCTGATGAACCTCCTCTTCCTCCTTTTTCCTGGAAATGTGTCCTAAACTGGCATCCACTGACATATGCTTGTATGAAAAAGCATGTGACTCAGTTGTAAGAAAATACTATACTACAGTACAATAAGGTACCATACAATACAATACAATACTCATTGGACAGAGTCGAGCAAGACTGACAGAGGCATTGATCTTTCTGTTCCACTTCTTCCTCACCCTTGGATCCTTTTTTTCCTTTCTTTATTCAAATTCTAAAACTAGTGATACTTGTGCGGCTTTTTTATACAGTGGAATCTGAACCCAGACCAGGTCACAGAAAGGTGAAACACAGAATAGTTTTGTTGTATTGGGGGAGGAGAGGAGAGTTGCAGTAATCCATGGCTTCTGTCTGAGACTAATACCAAAACCAGGACTCAGACATAGAACTTGGGGGAATCTGGTCTGCCAGAATTTGTATCACAACATTCCACTATTCCCCAATTCTTTCTATTTACCCAAAATGATTTCACTGATTCCCTCCACTTCTGGCAACCAGTGCAAAACAGAGAACAAAACAAAGAAAACAAGTATTAAAATAGCATCAAGTTTTTGACATATATTCTGCAGTGGGTGGTTCAAAGTAACCCATGTTTGACCTCTAATTCTTGAGCTTCTACCTCTTCTCAAGCATGCACAGCTTTGCAACATTGTGCACACTGTAGTTTGGTGGCTTTCTTTTTATCCATTCAGTGTCGGTACATGTTCTTCTACCCCTTCTTCATCAGCCACTCTACATCCTGACCACATGGGTGAATAATTTTTAGCTATTCCATTCTTAAAGTTCAATAAACATAAAAATATAAAAATAAAATGCAAGAGCATGTTTCAGCATGAAGTCAAAAGTTCTATTTGTGGGCTCTACACAATGTTCAAAGAGCAGCAGCACAGAAAACAAAACAGTGAGAGGATGAAGTACATTCCCATAGAGCTGTACAAATTGAGCAATAGGCTTTGACTCTAATGACCACTTTTGTGAGCAAACTAATTCTTTCATTCTATTCTCCAATCTATGTTTTGCTAAAATTGAAGTAGTGTCCCCTCCCCCCGCCCTCTCTACTACAGACATGAAAAAGGTTGATATATATGGAGCTGAAAGATCCAAAAATAACACCCACTGTTTCCATAACATTTATAATATAGAAGGAAACTGGTATCACATTCTCTTTCACAGTCACCCAAATTCAGAACACATTTGTAACATGGGGTGGGGGGAGCTCCCTTGTTTCTGGGCCATGGACACAAAAAGCAAAGGCTGGAGAGTTGTGTGGGCCTATCTCCTTTTTCTGCCACCAATTGCAGGCTTCTCTCCCTTTACCCTCCCCTCTTTTAGTTAGCATTTTCATTTTCATGTATATATATAAATAGTTGTATCTGTGTGTGTGATGCATGAGTGTATAGACACATTGAATGAGATTCAAGCACAGGTTGATCCCAGGAACTTCTTGCATTGGCTTCCTTGTTAGCACCACCATTGTAAGAGGCTACCCAAAAATAGAGAGAGAGAGAGTGTGAGAGAGCATTCACACATACTCACACTCACACACACAAATATCCTTCTGTATTTAATATGTTTCTGTTTGTATTCTCCCCCCCCCCTTTTTTTTTTTTTTTTTTTTTTTGGTTTTTTCTCTCTTTTTGGATTGAAAGCTCAGGAGCCAAAGCAGGATCTTCAGACAAATCCTTGATGGAAAAGATGGTTTTAGTTTGGGGGGGGGGGGAGAAAGCTCTTGGGGGGAAGCAGTCTGGACTGCTTCCAACTCATGGGAAGAAAGAAAGGATCTCTGTGTTTGTACATCCCAGCCTCATTGACCTTAATCCTGAGCGCTGTCAACAAGCCTCCAGTCCCAGAGACAGTGTGTTGGGAAGAGGTTTCATCTCTCTATCAGTTTTGAGCTAAGCCCATGAGGTCACACATGAGTCAGCCACAGAGACCCACACATTGATTCTGTGAATGAAACAAGTCAATGTTGGCTTGATATGACTCCACTGAGAACAGAATCAATTTTAGCTGTGTTTAAAAATGTGGGGCTTGAGTCCAACACCACAGCATGCCATTGACATGTTTGCCCATGCTTATGTCCATACCCATGCACTGGGCTGTAACTTTTGAGTTAAAACTTCACCAACATTGTGGGGAAAAAAAGAAAAAGAAAAAGAAGAGTCTAAAACAAAGAACAGCAATTGCTAGCTTAGGTTTGCCTTGTTTGTGAGTATTACAGAGTTTCCACATCCTGATTTGCCTCTGTTTTAAATGAAGAAAAAGGAAAAAAGAAAAGAAAAGAAAAGAAGAGCCTCCAACCACAACACAGCTATACAATTCTAAACTCTGGTTTTGTACTAACAAGGAGATTATCAGTGCACATTCAACTATATTCCCCATAAACCTGCAGTTGTAAGTGTATATACATATACATATATATGTAAGTGTACACATGTGAGTTTGCAGAGCTGGGGTAATCAAATCATATGTAGTGGGATCCACTGGAACCCACTTCACACATACAAGCACAGACAAGAATCAGGCTTGAGGATCAGTCTTTGTCAAGGACACGGGTTTAACTTTTGCAAGAGGCTCACAGACTAAGTTAGGGCTATGGCAGGTGTGGCAGGTGTGGCAGGTGTCACTGCATCGATTCCATCATGATCCACGGGGAAGTTTGCCATGTAACTCCATTCTCCTGAAATTGTCATCACTCGTGGCAGAAAACCGCCTCAGTACACTCGCCACTTCCTTCCACTTTCTCCGGAAGAAGCTGAGAAATAAGATTCTTCCCTATTTATCTTATTATCGAGATATCTTATTGATATATTCACCATGTCCCTACATAACACGCCTCTGGCTTCCACATCAGCTAAGTCTTGGCCTTGCCGAAGAGGCTTGGGAGGCAATCATAGCAGCTGGATACAGATTCACAACACACAAGAATCTGATGATACAAAAATTGCAAAATGAAAACTAGTCAGAAGCGATGTTCACGGCGAGAAAAAAACTGGGTAAATTCTCGGCGAGTGGAAAGTAAAAATCTCGCAATTTGCTGATAGGAGCATGAGTGCCGACAGAAAGGGGAGATATGACATTCATGGAAGCGGTATGAGTCTATTATCAGACAAGTGAAGCATGGTGAGGGAATGAAAGGTGGGCAGTGGTAAGAAAAAACTATGGCCAAGCGAGGCATGAGGCCTACATCGCAGGAATTGCCTCTGACATGCCCGCCCACCCGCCGCCATTCAAGACCTCGGCGCAAAACATCCTGCTTCCTCAAAATCACCACACTTCGCCTTTCACACTAATCGGTTTGTCTCCCTTTCTAACGAATGCATTTCATGAAGGACATACCGCCATCGAGATTCAATGGTGGAGGACTGTGAGGAAACTCAGCTTATGGTAACGACAGCGACGACGACGACCACGATGCGACAGAGGCGACTCCAGCCGGGCGTGTCGCGTCGCCCTCCGTGTCCAGGCTGGGGATGAAGCCACCACCATTGGTTTAGCAGATGCTGCAGCTGCAGTGCTGGCAAGGAGGACTTGGGACCGCAACTGGGCCATGCCATCATGCGAGACGCGGTTATTTTGCTTTTGTGTGAATTGTTTGTTACCTGTTTTACCCCTGATACTCGTGTGTGCGTGCTGCTTTGGTAACCAGGTCCGAAGGATTCTGGTGTGGAGCAGTCAGTGTGCATTTTCTTAATAGGTTCAGCTCGGAATCTTAGGGGTTCGCTCGAATTCCTGGTGCATAAATGGATGTTTCCCCCACACCATAGGATCACTCAACAGCTTCGCAGTGCATCTGCATGTACGCAGGTTGCCATGCTGTGTGTGTAGCGTCCTCGGCGTGATTGCAGCAGCAGCAGCAACAGCAGTCATTCCGCCAGCTAGTCCATCACGCAGCTATCAACGTTCAATTTCAATTTTATGTGCATGTGGCCAGCACGCTCGCGCGATCTATCTTTTATTTTCTACTTCCAGGAACGTACGGTGTCCGAAATAGCTTCTTCGAGTGCACTTGGTTGAGGAGGGAGAGGGGACTGGAGTGAACCTTCAGGGCGTGACCTCCGACGCGAATTTTCTACCAGATAGAGGCCGGGTGGGTGTGTGAACGTCGTGAGTATCCAAGTTTACGCGTGGGAAGGGCATACGAGAGGAAGCGGTTTGAAGCGATTTTGAAGGATCCAGTATTGGGTCCGTAGCGTCGAGTTCCAGTAACGCAGGGAATTGGACGTTCAAACCGGTAATGAAGAAGGGAAATTCCACTGGCTACGTCGCCCAACTCATCCTTGTGACAACACTATTGCAGGCGTGCTGCGCAACGGCGTTCTTCGTAGACGCAGCTCCACAACCCTTTGTTTCCCCAGGTTTTCCTCAGCCCCTTCCACCCACAGGTTTCGATTCCTCTTTGTAGCTCCGTCTTGCCAACCATCTTGTGCTGCCACGGTGCAGTGACACTTGTGGTTCTTCTTACCTGATGAGGATCCTTGGGTGGTGTAGGATATGGCTTACCAGGATTCAACAGCATGCGCCACAGGTCCATCCTCCGTGACGAAGTCGCTGCCAGGCTGAAGGAGCTCGGCAACGTATGTCTCCTCTCGTCTCTTGCTGATCCTCAGCATTGTCTGCTTTGGTCTTCAAATTCGTAAGAGTGGTGACATTTTCTACTCGACACGGGAATGAATCCTCGTCGATTGTAGTATCTTATGTTTTTCTCGTGCCACACGTAGCCATTGCCCATCACCTCGGTTAGTCTTCTGTATACAGTTGATGCTCAAATTAGTCTTGTTTGTTGCTTGCAGGTGAGTGACTCTAGACACGTACTCGAGAGAACCTTCTTGAGCCCAGCCGCCTTGGCTGCAGGTCGCCTTCTTGCATCATGGATGAGGGATGCCGGCCTCAGAACGTAATCCTTCTGAACCCTCACGCCAGCTTGGTTCAGTTTGGCATCGTGGGAAATCGAACCTCGTAGTGCATGGTAGTCGGGAGATTCTCATGCGTTCAAAGGTCTGATGCGTTTTGAGCTTACGTGTTTCAGATGGGAAGATGAGCTTGGAAACGTCCATGGTCGTTCAGACGGAGCTAATGCAACTGCACCTGCTCTTCTCTTGGGTTCTCATTTGGTACGTTGAACTTGCATTTCATTTTCTTTAGAGTGGGTTTTACGGCTCTTTGTCTCCTAATTTCATGATATTCAGATTCGTCTTAGCCAGTTTTGAGAGCAATCGTATGTATGCCAGGGTTGCTCATTGTATTTGGGATGTCTGTACAGGACACAGTGATAGACGCAGGAAAGTACGACGGTGCACTGGGTATCGTGACAGCAATCGCAGCAGTGAAAGTTCTAAAGATTGAGGGGAAATTGCAACAGTTTCCTCGCCCTATCGAGGTTGGTTGCTTATCAAGCTCATGAATGCTGTTTGTTTCCTCGCCCTATCCTTCAGGAAAAAACCAGAAGTATTTCCTTCTGAAATAACTCGTAAACTAAAGAAGGTTTTTATATTTCTCTCAGACGCCTGCGTCTTTAGAGTACTGATCACCACTGATCTTTTCCAGATTATTGCGTTTAGTGATGAAGAGGGAATTCGTTTTCAAACCACGTTTCTGGGAAGTAGTGCTATCGCCGGAACTTTCCAACCCAAGCATTTGAAAAATGTCGATGCTAGGTGCGGCCTCAACTTAACATGCTCTTGTGACCCTTTGTGGCGGTTTATTTATTTATTTATTTATTATTTTATTTGTGGACATAGTGACTTAAGTTTTCAAATCAGTACGGAGAATTTTAGCGCTATGAAAATGACACCCTTATCTCTCCTACTCATAAGTGTCGATCAGAAAGTTCTTTTTGAGTGCCGCCTTACGCTGGGAAGATTTTATAGATTCGGGGAGTCCTTGTGGAGATGTTAAGTGAATTTCAATGTGCAGGGGTATCTCAATTGGAGCTGCCCTGCGTGCGGCGTCACACCTTGGGACTCTCGAGAGCCTGTCGACTATGAAGTACGAACCGACATCTGTGTGGGGTTACGTCGAACTGCACATCGAGCAAGGACCTGTGCTTGAGGCTCATGGCTTACCATTGGGAGTTGTGGAAGCCATAGCCGGCCAAACAAGATTAGCGGTGCGGGTTGAAGGATCTCAGGGGCATGCCGGTACTGTGCCCATGTCCATGCGTAAGGACCCTATGATAGCAGCAGCGCAATCTATTGTAGCCATCGAGAATATCTGCACACACCCGGAGAAAGGTGTCGGAGGCAGCCGTGGCGCCACTGCGATGTCTACTGCCGTTAACCATGCTGGCGCAATAGTGTGTACAGTTGGGGAGATCCATTCATGGCCTGGAGCCAGCAATGTCATTCCTGGCGAGGTAAGTGTCTAAGTTTGGATTTTATGCCTTCAGGGCAGAGCACTTGTAGTTAGACGTCAGCTGTTATAGATTTACGTGATGAACACAGGTATCGACTCTTGCAATGGTGGGTAATTTTGTGTTGCAGTTGTTAATTTATTTACCGTATGTGATGAGAACTGTTAATGTTTGGATTCAGGTGATGTTCACAATCGATGTGAGGTCCAAGGACGACTCAAATCGGGAAACGAATGTCGTGCGGATCGAGAGTGAAATTCGCAAGATCTGCAGGAAGCGTGGTGTCGGATGTGTCATAGAGAGAAAGGTATATATATAACTATTGATTGTGATAGCAGGTAGATATTTGTTCTTAACAAGAAAAAAAGAAAAAAATTACAGTACTGCTGTACGTAAAGAAAGGTGATGAGTGAAAATTATGTTGATTTTTACATGTCTTATTCCTGGGTTTTCGCAGCATGAAGCGAACGCAATAGGGTGTGCTCCAGGATTGAGCGATCGGTTGAACGCAGCCGCATTTACTGCGATGAGGGAATTGCCACCATTCCGCAACAATTTCACCGCACTGGAAGATGGTGGATTCACAGCCCCGACATTAGTGAGTGGCGCTGGTCATGACGCTATGGCGATGGCCTCCCTCACACAGGTTGGACCTGTCACACTTAGAGAAACATCCATGCACGTAGCTTTAAAAAATACATGTCGATGTTGTTTCTTCACAATGATCTTGCTCCAATCACTTACATGAGTGTTTAACTTGTTGTGGACATGATCGCAGGTGGGCATGCTCTTTTTGAGGTGTACAGGTGGTGTGAGCCACTCGCCCGCAGAGCACGTTCAGGACGACGACATTTGGGCTGGCAGTCTCGCCCTCCTCCGCTTCATGGAAGGCGTACTGGGTGACCTTTCCCAGAATCAATCAGCTTGATTTGACCGATCTTCTACTGATGCGAAGAACTGGAGCGCATGCGGTCCTTCGTTAGCAGTTGTGACAACTGTAAATTTCCCCCCTCCTCCAAGCATTTTGACAGCTTATTACCTTGTACAGACCATTTATTTTACGATTTGAACTGGAGTCCATTGTCTAGACCTGTAGGCGGAGCCCATGTACACATGGCTGAGACATAGGCAGTTGTGTCTCTCTCTCTCTCTCTCTCTCCCCCCTCGCCCTTCGATTACAAGCTAGGTTCTTGTATGGTAATCTAGGATGTTTTCCAAAAGCCAAGCTCACTGTGATCGAATCATCTCATATTCTTTCCTCCTCACTTAGCATGCTTTGAGAGGACACGTGACACTACTGCTTCTAAAATGTAGTCCAGGATTTTAGATGGTAGACCACCATTGAGGTGCAATCTGATTTGTAACATGCTACAACGGTAGCCACCTATTTTTAATCCCACTGTCCATTCATTTTGTCAATCTTTCATGCGCATTCTTGTAACAATATCTCAACATTGGGTACCAGTAATAATCACCTATTGCTATGGTAACGCCCATTATAAAATTTTAAAAAATTCCCAATAAAACTCTCGCAGTACTCTTGAAAAAACCCAAATTTTCTGTATCCCAAACAACTATCATGTTTCGTGAAAAATATCTTGCAATGTAAAGCGAGAACAAAGATAGCAAGTGTCTACAGTGACGATTCCTACTGATGAAATTTGACAAAGATAGTAAAACAAATCTGTAGACGACAATTCCTGATCGCTGAAACTGTGCAACTCTTCACACTTTCTTATGTAAAACGCTCCTTCCATCTTCTCGTGTCTCGTGGACTTTCACGTAACGTTGCCCCTGGTATCCGGAAAGTGCACCCGATATGGAAGTGCTAAGGAATCCTATCCATGAGACGTATCAGTAATTGGGTGAAGAATTTCACACTTGTACACTCTACATGACAGTATCGTGTGCATCTCAATGTCGTTGCCAGCACAGAGGATGATTCGTGCCGAAGCTGTACGCCGTTTGCGGAATGTGCAGAAACCAAGCGGCACCCACAAGAAATTGAACTCCCGACCGGACTGGAGTGCTCATCGTTGTGTTCCCTGGAAACGCAAAAAAGTCCACTGGACAAGAATGTTTCGCTAGCGACCGGACACTTGTGGGCAAGGAGGAGGAGGGGGCGGTGGGACCAACGTGGAAGAGTCTACACGGTTATAGAATTCGCGACTTGCGGGGATAGAGCGGGATTGTCTCGAAGGAGCTAGAATGATGCGTGGGAGACGAAGACGGGCAAGGAAAGGTTCGAGAGAGGTAGAGGCTTTGTGCAGCATCTGACGAGGTGCAACCACATCGCTGTGCCATCCATCGATACGCTGCAAAAACCGTCTCGATCTCGCTGGTTCGATTCCATATATCGCGTTTCTTCTGCTCAATTCTCCTAGTCTGTCTTAGACTGCAATTGTCTCTTCCACATTTCCCTCATCCTGCATTGAATTAGTTATTGGGTGCTGTATGTATGGTTGTGGGTTGCACCTCTCCACCAGGGCTTGAGTTGGTGCGATCGTCGCACTTAGTTGTTTGATTCTCCCCCTTCTGGCCAATTCTTTCGGTGGTGGAAGTTAGGATTGACCGTTGTTGACTAGTCTGGTTTTTGATGTTTTAGTAATTGGTCTTTTTAGGGGTGTGTCGGTTGCGTAAGGTTTTAAGCGACAGTGTCTTTGGTACGCTGTTGGAACACGTAGAAGCATGTTCTTGCTTGGTGTTTGGGAGTCGTGAAGTGGAGGGGGAGTTGTCGGTTGTTTGAAATTTGAGTAGTGACCAATTCAGGTAAGGACGGTAGGTTTCCAATGACATTGAGAGGGTTCTGAGGTGGGTGGTTCTGCTACTTATGGGCTGTCTCGTGTTTCGTGCGCACAGGTCTAATCAGTGTTCGTCTGCGGAGGACTGGGTTGAGGGGGATATGACTTCCGGGGGAGGCAACGGTAATGGCAATCGCCGGGGCGGTGGAGGAGGGTTTGGAGGTTTCGGGAACTTTCCGGATCCCTTTGCGAATTTTGGCATGGGTTTCGGAGGAGGAGGATCGCGAGGAAGGAGTATTTTTGACGTCTTCGATAACGATCCCTTCTTCAACGACCCCTTTTTCACGAGGCCGTTTGGGAGCGCTTTCGGTGGCCAGGGATTGTTTGGCGGGCCTCAAGGACTCCTTGGCAACCCCTTTTTTCAGAATCAGCCACCTGCTCGTCCTCGCGCTCCTGCTGCTGGGTACATTGAAGATCGACCACGTAGTCCTCCTGTAAGCTCACTTACCAGTATTTTGATTTTTTATTATTTTAGCGGTAGCATAAGCGGCATATGAACTGTTGTCTACCGACAATCAATATGGAGCGCTTACATAAATTGAGTGTTTCTGAGAATCGTTATCGTACCCTAATTGAACAAATTGAAGAGTCTCCGCTTTGAACTGGGTCGATTTGGTCTGATCGTTAGCCTGTATCCAATTTTCTTTTTTAGGACAAATTACATTTACAATTTCATCTCGCTGAGCTTTAGTGACCCTATGTGATTCCGATGTGGTTTTATTATGCGATTAACCTCAGGTTTGTGTTAAGTTCCATTTGGTGAAGTTTGTCTGAAAACGTAAGCCAGGTTGGTGTGCGTTGCTCTAAATCTGGCTGGGCACACTGCATGTTTGAATGTATTTCTTTGTTTCTTTTAGGGATATATTTTCCCCTCAATCTTCCATTTTTAATCTACTCGTCACACAAGTCTATTATCGCACGGTGTGCTTTGGTGGAAGTTTCAAATTCTGCTTCAATTCAGTTTGTATTCTGTTCATATTGGATGATGGCTAGTTAAACCATTTTGAGATTTTTGGTGCACTTATAGTGACAAATAATTTTAACATCGAAATTCATGGCACTACTCCTACTGTATTACTAACTTTATTTTTTAGTTCTTAATTTTCTTTTTAAAACCATTTTACAAATCCATAACCTGACTTTTTTTGAGAACTGGCGCAGCAAGTTCACCAGCAGGACCCTATTATAGAGGAACTTTCAGAGTCTGATTCGGATCCAGATGCTCAACCTCAGGCGTCTTCTCGCTCAGGCCAGCAACCCATAATCGAACACCCTGACGACGACGTAAGGCCAGGTTCGTTTTTCGCTGCTCTTTTTCAGATTCTGTGGTGCCTTTGAACCCTTTTTAGAGCTGTAGAAGCTCTGCAGCACACTCTTCAGCTTGACGAGCATTACGGCTGTATTCAGTGGTCAGCGTATCCATGTTCACTGTCATGATTGTTTTACACAATTACGGTTTGTCACATTGCCCGCCTTTTTGTCTCTATGTCTTATTTCTGATTTTCTATTATCCTTCTGGACGTGATGATTTTTTGACGGAGTGAGTTGCTAATCTCTTGCCTCATGTGATTAAGTAGCAGAACCACAGGATCGGTCTCGCCCGTTCCAGAATGTCGTTAGAGCTGGACCCCTTCCAGTGCTGAATAATAGTGGTGGCCGCTCGTATAGTTTCCGGAGCTCTTCTGTCACATATGGAGGGCCTAACGGTACTTATTACTCGTCCTCTGCTGCCAGGCGCATGGGTCCAGACGGAGTGAGTTCTCTTCGTCACTGTTTGTTGAAGCTTCTAACATGTACAGTTTTGGTGCTTCCCTTCTTGCAAATTTGAGAAACGTAATTGATACTTGTCTCGGGTGCCAAAGCATGCGTGGTCTTAAATTTGGGAAACAGTGATCATCGGTGGCTAACCGCTATTGTGAGCTCAGGTAGTAGAGGAAGAGTTTGAAGAAAAAGATTCTACAACTGGCGAGGAAGTAAAACGAATTTCCAGGGGACTTGGTGTTAAGGTATGGATACGTTTGTTCATCCTGCTCATACTTTCGAGTCTCTTTTACGGGATATTATATTGCTCTAGGGGTAATATCGTAGATATATTCAAGTGACAGTCAAAGAGCTTTGCATTAATTTTCTGTTGATGAACTGTTGATGCTTGGATACTGTGATGATTTTTAGGGCGTTGAAGTCCATATCTACCTCTCTGGGGTAGATAAGAGCTTCAAATGTTGGTAACCTATTTAGAGTCAGCCCCTCCTGCTACGTTCACTAAATATTCCAACGTTGCAACCTCTCGACTGTGAAACCCTGTAACGTTGTACCTCTTCTGGTCCCTGGGAGTATTTTCAGAGCTTGGTTTGACTAGTTCTTTTCTGCAGGGACGTTCAATTACACGTAAACGCACTTCCGAGGGGCGCGAACAGACAATGCAAACACTTCACAACCTAGAAGAAGGTAAAAAAGTGCACTAGGAGGCATTTTAAAGCTGGAGCTTAATGGGGTAGTTTCGCGTTCTAACTTGGAGTTTTTGAATCAAGTCACAGGGCTAAGATTGGGCTCTTACTAATGTGCGGCCAATAAATATAGACACAATTGTTGATATATATATATATATATATATATATATATATATATATATCAACAATTATATATATATATACATTCTTTTTGTTGACTATATCTAAATTGCTGCAATCAACTTGCAGATGAATTACCGACATTTGACCAAACTTGGGAAGACCGGGCAAAAGCCCTGCCACAGTGGAATAGAAATCGACCACATACAGTTGATGCTCCTCGTGGTTATCAAGTGCCTGTCGACAATTTTGGTGGGTTTCCTCTTACAATCGAACCCAGTTTCGTTTCAATGTTTTTCTTGCCGTCCCGTGTAGTGCCTGCAATGAAGTTGGTTCTTGTCTCAATACTGTTCAAAATATGAATTCTTTTCCAGCGTACCAAGGGATAGTCATATATTTCTTAATCATGCTGTACTAACTTAAGTACTGCGTTTGTAGGCTCCACAAGTCGTTCTCGTATTGGTCTTCCAGGAAGCAGCTCATCACAAGGGGGACGGCAGTCGAAATAAGTCGGGAAGTCGATAATAGTCTTTTAAAATACTTTGGAATCAAGCGCCATGAGTTTTATTTCTTAGTATTTGGACACAAATTTTCTGGTATCTTGGTACATCACATTGTTTAGATCCTCTTGTACAGGAAGAATTTGGCGTATAATGCTTACTCCTAAAAAATCACCATCAAAATGTGATCAGAAGGCCTTTCAATGGTTGAATGTGGGTGTGTAGCTACTGATATTTGGTCTAGTATTGTTTCATCGTTTGTCCTTAGAATTTAGTTTGAAGGAACTGCAGAGACCATTATAGCACCCCCGTTCTTACATACACTGATTTTGCATGATGCATTAAATATAACGCAAGCTACCCATGCTTGCATAAACTGCTGGAGCCTTGTTTCAAAGGTATTTTAATAGGATCTATACCATGTTTCAAATAGCTTTGAAGTCTTCACAGATGCGTTTGTTCGTTTCAAGGTTTTCTAGTCCTCTTCGCTTATTCCACACAAGCTTGTTTTTCGAGTTGCTAGTCGCCAGTTTCAAAAGGCGATTAATGATGTGAATAAGATGCACTCATTCAATCATTCAAATCCACTCATTCAATTAAATTCTAATTTTCAATTTGACGATGAAATACTACAGTTGGTTTCAGGAATAACTTCAAGATCAGACAAAGAGATTTCAAGCGAGGTAGGTGGATCTTCATTGAGGTCTGGGATGCAATCTGAATAAGTACACCAGATCATGCAATCTTAGAGTGTGACATAAATTTTATAAGTCCAAAACTTTAGACCTAGAATTTCGAAAAAAAATATTATAAAGTATGAGAGTTACATATAAGTCAGGGTAATTTTGGATAACATGGACTATTTTTTATTTGTTGATTTCGATTATCCTCAGACAGATATAAAGTTGTAGACATATTTGTGTTCGGTATTCATTGCAATGGAGTTGATGACTAAATTTTCTTGAAAAATTATTCTGATTAAGCTTTGAACAGAAGAGGTACTTAGGCTTGTTATGCAAGAACAGATGAACGTCTCATACTTAAATTTTTATGACGAGAATCGTATAATTTTACAGTCATGCAATATTTACTCTATGAAGTATTCCATCATTGACTCTCATCAAAAGTTGTTAATATTGAATTATGATGTATGAAAAAACATTAAATATCAAACAGTTCTAAACCTGGAGAATATTTCGAAATTTACACGAAATATGATGGCAGTAATAATACTACATGAGATTTTAACATCACATGTATTTATTAAGGTGTTATTCTCAAAAAAGACATTCTGTATTGCTTTTTCTTTTTCTTTATTTTTCCCCCGCCTTCTTCTCTTTTTTTGTCCTTCTCTCTTCAAGTTCTTATTTTATTTTAATTTTTAATTGTTAATAATGATAATCAAGATTGTAAACAGAGAATAATTGAAATCATAAAAAGACTAATTATTTTCATATGCTTATTACCAAGCAAGTAAGTGCAATCATGTGGTTATTATTATTTTGTTTGACAAACTAAGTTTAATGGTAATGTTTTCATTCCTCACATCATTTCTTCAAAAATATAGTTGAAAGTTAATGCACATACTTTACAATGCCATTTATTGATTTAAGAAATTTAAATAGTGAGGTAATGAAATACATGAATGAAAATTAAAATTTAAACTCCTATTATAGAAATATTGTTTGATATTGTTTTGGAAATAAGTCAGAAAAAATAATGGATTTTTTCTTTTTTTTCTTTTTATAATTCTATTGTAAATTAAACACATGCAATAGAAAACCAAGTAAAAACTGATGTGACACATAACTCAAATTTCCTGAAATCTGAGAATAAGTTGTACCAATGTTTTTCTGAAGTAATATGCCCAAGACTTGAACAAAAAATTAATGAAAAACAAAGAATACTTCTTTAAATAAGTCTTATCACATTTGTTAGAAATCATATAAAAGTACTCTACATGAAAACCAAAAATGTTTTGTCCCATTACATGTTGATATTGTCAAAATGATATCTTTTTCCAACCAAAACGACATTTGAAAAAAATGTTTTTATTATTTGAACAATACATAGAGAGTACAGATTTGGATTCTATCATTGATGTATGTTGTAATGCTGTTATATTTTGCTCAGAACAGTTTAAAAATTAGTTGTGCTTTTGTAAAATAAAATAAAATAAAATTGAAACTACTAACATAACATATTGCTGTAGTTTATCAAATTTATCAGGTTTAATATTCACATCTATTTTTACAATATAGTTTTGAAAACCAAAATAGGTAAATAAATAAATAAATAGTGCACTTATTTGATTAACAAAATTGAATATTAGATGTAGATTTATCAAAGCTGCCACAAATGAGAAAATTGTAGATTTTAATTCGTGTGTCTGTATTTATGATGCAAAAGTTAACGCATCAAGCAATAATAATTTGATTTAGGTAGTTAATATTTATTCATTTACTTAAATATTTCTAATTAGTACATCATTCATTAGTTTTGTCAATATTGATTCATATGCAAAAATTGATACTTATGGCAATAAGTTACAAAATGTCTTTAAAAAAATTATACATGCATTTTAATGGCAACTTGAATAGTTTCACATTTATTAAAATTAAATATAAATATTTATACTTCAATTTTTTTACAAAAGTTTACCTCAAAATTCTAATTGAAATAAATATTTCATATAAGAAAATGATATTTTTATGTGGAATTGTTGGTGACTAAAAATATGTGGTTACATTAAAAGTATGATCCAATATATTATTGAGTTTAAGTCTTGATTGATATGTAAATATTTTTTGAATTTTGTTCTGAATATTGATAATGTAATTAAACCTCAAATCAAACAAATGATATATTTTTTTAAATAACTTCTGAGATTTGGAACTTCAATGCATTCAATACATGTAACATCCATTATAAACTTGAATTGCTCCATGAGTGGAAGCACCACTAGATATGACTGAAGCTAATGATAATTGTGCTGTTTCACATAATAATATATTTCAACTATTTATGTTCAAAATCATGACGACTTCAAGTATCAAATTATGTTTAATTATATTTTCAATACTTTTTTTTTTTTCTTTTTTTTTTTCTTTTTTAGATGAATATGTGTATATTGCATAAAATAAATTTTATAAAAACATATATATATATATATATATATATGTGTTTTTATGCAAAAGCAAGACACTAACCACATTTTGTAAGAACAATTTACTTTTATTTTTTAAATTTAAATTTTTTCTTAAATAAACTTAATCTTATAACATTACTATACACCTTACATAAAAGATGATATACATACAAATAAATGAACAAGCATATCAATAGGAAAAACTTGGAGCTGTTAGGGCTTTCAAGTAGGTATAAATGCTTACAACCAGGGGATGCAGAAACTTTTAAAAATTATTGGAAATAATTTATAACTGAATTTTTGAAATTCATAAACATTTATACAAATACATTTTAATATCTTCCAACATCTCCTTCATCCAAGCCCACAACCATTTCCACAAAGTTTGCCATGAAAATTCTATTTTGGTAAGGCAATGTAAATGTAAGTGTGATAGAATTTTATTTTTGTGAAATTGTTATGGGTATTCACCACACTTACACTCACATTTCCCTGCCAAAATACACATTCGGTATCCTCACCAAATCCTCCTCTCCAACCCTGCACTACCCCCATGCAACCAATCCCCCAAAGGTGCAACCTTTACCATGATAAAACCATGAAACCCTAAACCTGAGAAAACAAGGGCTAATGGTGGCAAAAGAGAGAACGGAATGTTGCGAAAAAGGGTAGTATTTCACCACGACCCATGTCTGGCATCTTTTACCACATAGGTGCTGGAAGTCAAAAAAATAAAAATGAGTAGAGCTATGGTTGCAGGAGAGTGGTGGTGATGATGGCGACGGACGAAGAGTAGTAGCCCACAAACACTCCAGCGTTACTTCGTGTTGTGTTTCTGTAATCTCTCTCTCTCTCTCTCTCTCTCGTGCTGTGAAAGCTGCAGGTTGCATGAGCACTTTTGCAATGTCTGTGTCTGGGTGCTGCACTTGGAGCATCTCCCCAAAGTCTTTAGAGACAGTCCGTTGTGAGCAGGCCACAGAGAGCTTCCAGCTTCCAGGTTTTGTGCCGTAACGTCAGTAGAGTGATGCAGCGTCGTCGCCATTTGTGGTCGCGAGCTCACCAGCTGTGTGCTAGTGCTGCATGTTGACCCGTGACCACTGCTCAGCTGAGCCAAGGCATTTCACTTTGTTCTTGTTCTTGTCCTACTTCTGCAAGCTTGAGTTTCTGAGCTGCAGTGATGGAGTAGAGTGATGTTTCAGCAGTTGATCAGTTTTTGGGTTTGAGGGCTCTAGGTTTGGCATTTTAGGCTGACGGTGCATGCTCGTATCCCTGTAGAGTTTGCTATCTTCTTTTTGCTTCTGTGAGGGTTTTGTGTTTGCTTAAGCTGCAGTGTGTGTGCTAAGTTACTGGTGTTCAAGGGTTTTGGGGTGGTTTGAGGGATTTGACAAGAGGCTTGGTACTTAAAACGTTCCAGTCTGCATTGAGCTGTCATGACACTGTTGTCGGCGTCCATGGCTTTACCCTCAAGTGATCACTGACCTAAGTTTTGTAATTGGGTCTCACATTGCATCGACAGAGGGCAATGCTGTGCATTCTGAAAGCTCTCAACCACGGGTTTAAGTTCGGTACTTACCGCTAAACCTAAACGGAGAGGGCGAGAGGATATTACATGGTTCGACATCACGGCTGTTGCTGCACCGAAACGAACAAGGTTTCGATGCCTGTCATGGGCATGAGGCGTATTCTGCAGCTGATCCCAATCTTTTGCATTATTGCTGGTACATTTCTCGAATTTGTTTGTTGTTGTTAACCTCTGAAGAATGGTGTGCACAGGTTGAGGGTTTGGTAATCTACGTTCTTTGTAATGCCTGAGGTCTTCATGGGGTTTTTAGTGGTTCATGTGCACTCGTTTCACAACCATTTACCACCGACGTTGCACTTTTCTGGGGTTTAATTATGTTGACTGAGAGTGAGATTACTAGAGAATGCATGACTGTATTACAGACTTAGTTGTTGAGAGAAATTTCTATTCCATATTTTTTTACAAAGAGAATAGTTATAACTGAGTTGATGGTATTGCAAGAATGTCTCGAGAGCGATGCCTGGTGATGTATTTCTGCGATGTCTGTTGGAGCAGGGTACTAGATTTTTATTTTTATTTTTGTTTTTCTTTCCCTTCCTCTTCATGCAGCGCTCAATTCAAGTGGCTTGTACACAATGCAGGTGCATTCGCCATACCCTCGTCGGAAGAGCTGAAGGTGAGACACATCTTGTATTATTCTTGTCCATTTCTTGTCACCCGAGTGTTTCAATTCAATCAATTTCCTCAGATTCAATCCCATCAGCAAATAAGATGGTCCTCGGATATGCAGGAAAAGCAGTGGCAGAACTACACGAGCAAGCTTCAGATAGAGGTATGGACCAATCTTCTATTTAGTTTCAGTTGCCTTTCTGTGGTTGAACGTGTACAGTGGTTTGTTTAAGATCTTTTACAATCAAGTCCGGAACTGTTTGCAATTGACCTTTTTCAATTACGAGAACTAGGCCAACCAATGGCAAGAGATCAATTTCGAAGTTTGTCCAATTGTTGAGGCATTTGCTTGGTTGTCGGACCGAATTTAAGCACTTCAGGTGTTGAGTGGCGACCACCTACGTTAATCGTGGTTAGATTAGAATCAGTCCTTGAACATTGAATCTCGATCACGAATTAGACACTGGAATGTTTTCTTTGGTGGTCTCAACTTAATGAACCCACAGGATTTGAAGGAGTTTGGCACAAATGGAAGCATGTGGCTGAAGGGCAACATGTTGAGATTGACGAATGGGACCGAGTTGCAGCTTTTTCCTACCTCCGAAACTCAGATACACGAACACGTTAATGGAACCCGGAGGAAGCTGGGCGTCTTCCGCCAGTGCTCTCCCTGTACTTGCTGCGACAAGACACGGCGCTGGTGCCTGCCTACTTTTTGCTGCTACAACATTCTGTGTGGAGTGCAAGGCTTACCCTATGGGCTGTGCTCTTTCATCCCCATCTCATGCGCGTGCTTTGGCTGTAGGAAGTGAATCAATGGCATCCTTCTTGATGTGAAGCTAGATGTTTTAGGTACTGCTCAGAAACCGACATGTAAGATCTTCGTTGGTGTCAATTTAGCGGAAAAAATGGAACATGATAGGGGTTGGATCAGGAATATGCGAATTGATAAACAAGAACTGTGTGCAATAAGCAGCATTGTCGAAGTTGAGAATCTGCAGTTGTCTTCTTTTTAGTGAGATTGAACAACTTTCCGCCTCATTTGTCTGATTCGTCCCCTAATAGTGAGGTTGCGCATGCTTGATTTCGCCTACAAACTTTCTGTAGTTCTGTTACATTTTGCCCAAAATTTCATGAACGGGGGTTATTTCACCATCACTCAAGGAGCTCCGTCCGGGGCAATGGTCTCCTTTCACTGGTACCCCTCGAAGAATCAAGTTGTCACAAATCAGCTCAATATGCCGTTGCCTGGAAGAGAACATAACCTCCTAGCAGAGCATGGTATTGTGCAGATTTTCCTCTGTGATACTGTCGACACAAATGGGCCAACTCCATTGTTTAAGTGAATGTTACATGTTCCGACCTGCAGACCACTTCTGTTGCAATTCAATTCGGGGGTTCATCAACGAGCTCCCAGGCGGCATTTTAGAGCGCCGGCGCTGTTCACCAGCATCCTCGTTACAGGGGCTGGACCATCGATGCAGCTCAAAGTTTTGGAGTATCTCTTAAGCCGATCCAAGGGCATACACCAGACTGGAACAAGTCCCCCTTCGACCTTCAGTTCTAGTTCTTGGGCTTTTCCAAATTTGGGCTGTGTCGTGAGTGTTCTTTCGTCACCGTGCCCGTGGCTCTTGTAGTCGTTGAACACATTGCGCTGCGACTGAATGGTGGAGTCTTCTCTCAAGCCCCTTTCTCAGCAGAGTATTCATTGTTCACGACGTGCTCGTTTTCAGGACGGATTCTGCCAACCATGATCGTGAATTGATCTTCCACAAGACTTCAGGTTTGACAGCCATATGACCAGGCAACGGAGTCAGCTTAGTATGTAATACCATCTCAAATTCATCTGCAGGTGTGTGCCCTCACAGGTTCCCTCCTGCAAGTATTGTTCCTCTGATATTTTCTCGGAGTTTTGATGGGTCCTGAGTTGAGGCGTCAGGGCATAATCATCATCAAGCTTACTGCAATGTTGGGACTCGTTGCGACGACACAACCATCTGTGCACTGATGATGCACAATGACCTTGATAATTTCGTGGTCCTAGTTTAGACTCAACTGTACTGCTATTTTGCATGACTCAGTTAGGATTTGTGATCCAATGGGAGTGGTTCATTAGCAAAGATGCGATGCAGTTGCATTGCACCAGTTCGCAAAATCCATCTCATCCCACATCTCAACACCAACTCAAATCCGACAGTAGTAATTAGAGCCGTTAAGCTGGCATCGACAGACACTGCCACTGATGGGCATTGGAGTGATACCGGTGCGTATCGGTGTACCAACAGCGAAGCATGTACACCAAGATGGGACTGTTTACTAGCATTTGCAGAGTGTGATTAGGCGACGGTGAATCTCGGAGCGGACCGACAGCCTATTTCACCTCCTGAAGATGATGTTAGTACAGTAAGGGAGCTTCGTTTTTACTTGAACTTGAACTTTTCTGCCCTCTGTCACATCGACGCCATGGGTTACGAAGATTGTGTCGGGTTTCCAACAACGATGAGCTCATCCGCCAGCTTCTGAATTTAATGACAGCATTCCATGTATTTTCCATAACCACACCCGACAACCACAAAAATTACCATCTGTGAGCCGTTTACTTTGATTTCACTACCTGCCATCCGATGCCTATGTCATGGGTGCTTAACAAGAGTATGCATTCGAGCATCTTCTGGTAACCTGAAGTCTTTGCACGAGCAGTTTGTGTATGCGTGCGAGTAGTTATAGGGGAGTTTAACCTAGAAAGTATTGGTCGAATGACGGCGTTGAAAAACTTTTCAACTTAACTTTGCACTGAAGACATAGGTTCCGACACACGTGCAACTTCGAAGGGATCCGGGCTAAGCTTGTACCCAACCGGCCAAATTTCTGAGGCATCCACTTACCGAAGTAAGTGAGGGCATACTGCTGTTAGTGGCAAGCCATTTCAGGGAGAAGTGAAAGCACTGTAGGTTAGATCAGTGATGGTGGTGGATCATAGGAATCCATCGTGTGAACAAAGTGAGGACATCTGATGCGATTTAGATCTTCACATTCAGATCTATGCGGATACGAGATAGCAATGGAGTTCGAGGGAATCCTGACACACATCGAACTGAATGCTGGCTCTCCATCCACAGTTGCCAACACTGGGTTCTTACTAGAAGGGCAAATTCAGATGACTGAAAATCGTGTCGCAACCCTGAATCTACAAGGGAGTTGTCCCTTCATGCTTAACAATCACTGTAAATGCACCTGAGGTGGTGATATCATCTCACATGTGTCGATGACGACGAGTGTAATGTTTGTCTTCATTGCTCTGGAAAGGTTAGAAGCAATATCCTTCGTCTTCATCGAATGATCAGAAGTACTGGGAGAGCACGCATTTCTTCCACTCAGCCCCTCAACACATGAAATATTGCGTGAGACTTGAAGGGACTGGCTCCTAGACCAGCCTACTGCAATATATGAAAGAGCAGCTCGGCTCGCAAGCAACTTCTGAAGTCGAAAAGAAAACGTGAATCGACAATAAGATCATTGCGCCTGAGAATCCATAATTAAGGACTAGAAAAGGGTTCTGTGAAGTGGGTTCAACCCAACAATGCTAATGCATGTTTTGAAAAACTCTATTTTCTAAATGCTTAGTTGACGTTTCCTTAACGTTTAATACAAAGTAAGACAGATAGACTGTGTACTGATGTACAGAGGATATCAAAATAACTTAATATATCTTTCACGCACAGACTACCCAAGTCGTAAACACAAACAAAAATACAGGTGTTTTATGTACCACTGGCACATTCCATCAAGAATGAATGCGGTAGCAGATTTTTAACCTGGCACAATGTTCGCACGATACTTTGACTTTGAAATTCATTGAAGCCACCACCCAAATAGTGATTGATTCAATTGTAATATGTCAGCATCAAGTCACATCGTCAACATACCTTCAGACCTTGACATTTGTTCCCACATGACTATGCACAATATATATATATATATATATATATATATATACACACAAATATGATGATCCTGCTCTCGTTCGTTATCGAGCGAAACACTTATCCAACCTTGATTTCGTTCTCTAAACATGTGGGCTTCGAAAACCTGCCAGGAATACCAGCGCCAAGACTAACCAGCATGGCGCCACGTCTAACTATCATGGATCTGCTCCATTTTTGCTCCAAAGTACACCAAATTTATCTAGCGTTTTACAAATATGGCTCCTCTGACTTCGGAGCTTCGACAGTGCCCATAATTTCCGATGCAGCCCCGAGTGTGTGCATTCCTGGTCACGAATAATTCCACCTGTTCCGGATCACGTTTTTGTAGACTTCTGTCCTCGGCTTCGTTTTATCGCCCTGGCGCCATTTTGCTCTTTGGAATTCTCAGCTAGTGGAGTTATCAGAGGTGCTGGTGCCAAGACCGTTGCTTCGCTGTGGGAGGCATCTAGATGGAATCACGATATGACTTGCGATAATATGGTAGAATCTCGGGGGGGGGGGGGGTGTTGTGGACAGAGATGCACTCTGTTGGGCACGATTCAAGGATGTCAAAGCACGTCGGGGATTGGATCGGCACATGGGCGCCAAACTAAATGCTATCTTCGGGGTAGAGAGCTCCTTGGAAAAGCGAAGTCAGTCCCAGTGCCGCTGCAATGGCAACAGTGCTCAGTTTCCTCGCATTTTGCTTACATATAGGGTTGCATTGATGTCTCTCAACATCTTCAAGTGCCGAGGGTTTGCTGTATCAGAGAACGTGAAGAAGACCTGAGTGGGGTTGGAGGCTGGTCTTTCAGTTGCTTCAGAGATGGCTGCATATTCCATGGCCAAGGCTGTTACAATTCTCTATGCTACACTGCTAGTAGTGCAGGTGGCACACGTTGAGAGCGCTCGCCTCCTCCTGCAGTACGACACCTTACTGGCGAAAACTGAGGCAGCGGTGCCCAGCGAGGAGCAACCAAGTGATACTATATTCCAGATTCCAGAAGATGATCCTAGCGAAGGCGTGGCTGTGCTGAGCGATCTCTCCGGCACCCAGCCGTTTGAGACTCTAGATGATCAGCAATTTCAGGAGCAGGTACCCAACGATGACACCGTTGGATCTTACAATCAGGACGATGAGAGTGCGGATCAGGAACCTGTAGTGCTTGCAGACGGTGACTTGGACACTGGAGTTGACGGCGTGGGTCAACCGAACGATGAGACGCCTTTTCAAACTTCTCTCGCTGTGCAGCAGGATGAGCCTGTTTTCGACGCTGAGTTCAGTGACACAGCTTTACCATCCGAAGAAAAGGTGTTCGAATTTGTACCGTAACCAGGCATAAGTCTTCAGGTTTGGACAGGGAAAAAAATTATGTTACAAGTGTCTCCGCCAAGTGAAGAGTGAGCACATTGCCTTGACTAGGATTACATCCCATGATCGAGAGTGTGAGCTTGCACTTCAAGTTGAACGACCGTCTGGTTTTGATTTCCACAAAGCGGTTGTATTGTGAAATCAATAGTCACTTACGAAGCTGCTGTGTGCGCTTTTGGTGCGTCACATCAGCGATTTGAGAGCGTTTTGTCAAAGTGGTAGGATACTATGTCTATGGATATGATTCTGTCTGCTGTTCCGACGTGTGTTAGATGTGACCGCGCAGCTGTGGCCCAAAACATGCGATCCAGGACTGTCAGCTGTGGTGATTGTGGCCGATGCGGTTCTTGTGTTCGCTCCAAAGCATGAATAAACGCGCGCATGCACGGGATACATGCTACCTTCCAAATGTGGCTGTCTATATTTCTTCATTCATTTACAGAACTGGGTGGGAACACAATCTACTTGATCTTGGAAGAGTTATATACGCCATGATCTTTCCATTTGATAAAAAATAACCATCAACACAATGCATCACTATTTCAGCATAATTTTCTATTGGCGTTTATGTTTTTCCACACCTGCCATTATCCAAATGGACAAACGTACAAAGTTTATTCGAAGAGAACACCCTAAACCTGGTGCATACAACACAATTAATATCGTACATACTTATGAATATAGCTCCATTCATCTCGTACGGAATGTGCCAACCGTCAAATAAAAACAAACTTGAGAATGTTCCCTAACGTCACATCCTGGGTTAAGCACTTTGGTAATCGATTTCCACCAATCTACAAACGAGTGCGACAGAATCCATCTTATCTCAACAATAATCATGTCGTTTTCTTCGCTCCAACGTGTAATTTTCAGAAATGTAGCAGCAGATGTTAGTATCAGAAACATCTGAGCAACTTAAGCGCAGAGGAAAATAGTTGGCATTTTTTACTGTGACATAGCTTAAAAATTCAAGACTCAGTTTCAATAATATTCGTCATAAGCGAATTATTACTTATCCTTTCAATTCCAACTAGAAGCTGTCTGTGCAGAGTAGAAAAATGTTTCTGCACTGCTCCAAACCAGACGAATAGAGAGAACCAAAAAATGCGAAAAAACCGTCTTCATTATTACGCATGCAAGCAAGGTATTTGCATTCCAAATGCAATTCAAATGCACAGGACAAGGTATGTTGTTACGAACAATACGGAGCACCAACCTGGTGAAACAGCATCACAAATAGCCCTACTACGAGGTTGGAATTGAAATAAAGAACTGTCATTCGAGGATGCTCTGTCAATTTCTCTCTCGCAGGCCAGAGCTAAATTCCTTTATGAAGAAACAAAGAATGATCTCTCTAGTATAATACACAATGTACCTTCTCCTGATACCCAGCTAAAGGCACAATCTCTTCCAAGTAAGCCAATCTCCTACCTCTGTCCTAAAAATCCTAATCAAAATTTCTAGACAAAATTCTCAATCACCAACGCCTCAATCCTCGTCATGAAAATTATGACGATCCTCGAGTTCGTTCAAATAAGGTCACTTGGCCTGAGAGTAAAAAAACGTTCCGAGAATCGCAATTGCAGCACCGATAGCATTGATGGGACTGACTGGGTTGCGAAAAATGAGGATTGAGGTAGCAATCACTGTCACCCGCTTCATGGTGTTGCCGATGCTGAAGGAGAGGGGAGAGATTTGATCCAAGGACATATACGACACTTGGTTGTGCAAGTGGTAGAGCAAACATTGCAACACCACCCAGAGAGGAAACTGTCTACCAACGGACTGAATTGCCGTGGTCCATCCGGCCGCCCAAACTTTAGGACCTTCAACAACGAAGGCAAAGGGCAAGAGGAGCACGAAAGACATCATGCTCAAGCACGCATAGTAATTCATGCCCCCCACACTCTTGCCTGCCTTCATTCCCCTCTTCGAAGCAATGTTGCGAAACACGAATGCAATGTTGGAAAGCATGGCCCCCAAGAACCCTATCATGCTGAAATCCACCTCTGAGGCAGCGGCTAACCCGCAGCCCCCAATGATAGGCACTATAGAAAAATACACGGACAAGGGGAAATCCTCCCCCATGAACAGCTTCGAAATTATCACACTGCAGGCTGGTTCTAAGCTCTTGATGATGTGGTGGGACGATACGGCAATCTTGGACAAGCTCACAGTTGCCGCCACAAAACCAATTGTATGCAAAATTGCTACAGGAGCAAGTCCTTTCCAGAACTCGGCATCCACGTCAGGAGGCTCCACCAACCTCAGACCCCAGAGAGATAGCATGAATACTGACCCCATCGCCAGAGACAATGCAGATGTCAACCACGGAAATGGGAATGCGTTCAGCACCTTCTTGTTGTAGATGTTGAAAACAGCGTTTAGAGACCACCACACGGCAAAGTACAGCTCAATTGGGAACCTCTTCGCTTCGGTCGTAATACCCGCCCCACCTGCATCGGCATAATCACCTGAAGCGCCGACATCCATTGCTTGTGCAAGAATGTTTCGTTTTGGTGACAACTTACTCACGGACCCGTCTTTCACGTATGAGGACTGCAGACGCACAGGGCTGGAATTTCGGTCGAAGGCAAACGACTCCATCAACCGCATGCGACAACCAACACACCCCTGTCTTTGAATACCAATTGGGCTGCTCTTCGCCGGCGAACACAGAGCAGGCTTGCCCGAGCTCGGCGACAAGCCTGACAGAACGCGCAGCATCGCCATGACACTCAAAACCTGTAGCCAATGAAGGCCAAATCGCAAAAAGAAAACAACAAGATGCTAAAAAGTCGGTCCAAGCGACACGAGAAGGCGTTCCGTGATCCTCAGTAGCCCAGTGAAGATACTCGAGTCAGAGCCATCCACACTACTTGTAAAACCTACTCAAAGATCAGGCAACACCCAAACCTTCTACACTCTAACGATCCATAGCTACATTGTCAAAGCCAACCCCATCTCCGACGTCTTCAGCAATTTCCACCAAGGACCCAACGCGAAACCCCTCTAAAGACACAATGAATCAAAACTCCAAGCCCTCTCCAAAATACACCTCAAGCCAAGCCTAGACAGAAGGTTCCCAAAGAACAAGACCTCACAGACCACGAGAGCTGCTGAGACTGCAACCCTCAAACACTGGCACTGTCATTTATCGATGGAAAGCTCCCGGCGAGTAGGCAGAAGAGGACGAAGCTCCGGGGGAGGGATTCAGTGGCTGCGTGATGGAGGCACAGGAAGCGAGGCGGCGCAAGGATCCACCACGAAAACGCTGGCACCGAAGACAAAAGCTTCTGCTGGGATCCTTATCAAATTCTTCGACCCCTCTTTCGAAACGGCCAACAGATACCGCGCAGTTTCGCTCCTGGACTTGCCCCATCGGAATTGAGACGCCGTTTCTGACTTCCTTCGGAACCTTCGAGCGAAGTCGAGTAAGTTACCCCTCGGGTAAACTCATTTTCGTGAATAGTGACTCAAGAACTTACGATCCAATCAGAATCAGGTTAGATGGGTCGTCTGCGTCGTTGTTAGATTGCGTTGGCGTTTTCCTAGATTACGAAATCAGGTCATTTCTTAGAGGTTGAGGGAAACGACACTAGGGCCACGCTGGCACCGTTATTGTCTGCAGATAGTGATGTCAGATGGGGATGATAAGTGCGGTAGAAGAACCTTCATCCATCCGAGCTTTGGCCAGATTCAATGTACCTTTGGCTGTGAATTTCACCTTTAATTGCGTGGCAACATTATCTATGTTTTAATTTTTTGTTTTCTTATTTTTATTCTTTTCCTGCTGGAATCTTCAAATTTTTGTCATGGTGTGTTTTTTAATAATAAAAAGTGAAAAAAATCAAGTGTTGATTAACCATGGAAATTGAGGGTGCTTTCTGGACATGTGAGTGAAATGTAGTTCTAACTCAGTGAATAATTCTTGTAGAAATTATGTTAGCTTGTATGTATTTCTAAGTTGAAACTCATACATGAATCGTTCTTTTTTAATTTTTTTTTGTGGTTCCCATATAGGGTTTTTTGATTGCATGGGAGCTACTTAATATGTTTTTATACAAATTATGACGTTGGTAAGTACCATATTCATCTTGATAAGTATATTTTCATGAAAGCCATTGTGTTTTATACATGTTTATAGATTTATTTTTCAAATATACATTAGTACAATTTATGAATAAATAACTATAATACACTTCGATACAAACTAATAAGACAAACGTTGATTTTTCTGCTAAATCAGGTTATTAATTTTAACTGCAAAAAAAAAAAAAAAAAAAAAAAAAAACTGTAGAACAACTTAATAATTCCATACAGAAATAATAATGAAGAAGTGAAAGTTAATGGTGTGGAAAAAATCCCATATTTTCTTAAGAGTTCAGGTGTGCATTGAATTAGCACAGCATTTGCATTAAAGTCATATTTGTTGTCAGCAAGTATGCAAACACTGATTTGTGATATTATAATTGCAAGGTTATTTTAAATGAACATCTGTGTGGCAATACCAGTACAAACTTGAGTACTTTTGAATTTTTTGAAAAGGTCCTAACTCAAGTTATTTCTTGATGAAAAAGACACATCATCAATTCCAAGTATTCTTAGAATATATATATATATATATATATATATATAATAATTTTTTTCTACATATACATATATATTAGCAAGCTAGATCATTGTTCAGTACTACATAAACTTTATCAGATAACGATTGATTGTTTTTGTTTATCATAAATAGACTGTAATATTACAATATCAGTGAAAATATTGTAAAGCTTTGATATGTAATTGGCCGAATTTCTTGGTTTTTATTTTTTATTTTTTTATGAAATTTTCCAGATGTATTGGTTGATGAATATTTCATAAAAATCATATATAAAAATAATTCAAAAACATTAACCAATATTATATTAGTTGGAATTCAATGAATTAAGAAATTGAGTTAAGTTTATAGTCACACTTGGTTTCTCGGCATTTAGTCAATCACAGAATTTTAAGGATAGATAACAATTTTTCTATATGTAAAGTAGAAACACAAAATGCAGTTAAATATATGAGTTTGAAATTAATCATAGATTTAAGGAGCTTTTTATGATATTTATTGAGACTACTTTTAATAATAATTTTTATTACATATTGTATATATTTTTATGGTAAAAAAAAAGTATAGAATATTACAAGTATTAAAATTTGATGTGAGTAGTGTATTGATGTTGTTGTTTTTTTTTTGTATTTTTGTATTTTTTGAAAACCTTACATCATAAAAGACAATTTTTTTAATATTATAGCCAAAAAAATTATCATATAAAAAAATGTTTCTTTTTCTAAAATTAATAACTAATCACATAAAGAATTATTTTTGAGTTAGTTTATATGAAGATATTATCATTTAATTTAATATATATATATATATATATATATATATATTTATTCTATGATCTTTGGTATAAACTTATTTATTGTATGAAATTTCTTATATAAAAAAAATGTTGCAAAAAAAATAATTTTAAAATATATACTTAATTTAAATATATTTATAAAAATACTAGAGAAAACCTATTTAGCAAGCTAAATGATTGTCAAAGTTATTTTGCTACTAAGTTATTTGTTGTTACCAAACCATTTTACAATACAAAACATTAATTGTGGATCTTCTATTTGAATGGCATACAAAGACATCCACAATACATCTTGTGTAAAAATAAAATATCAATGCTTTTAGTTGGGCCCAAATACCTTCTATCAAGGTATTGTTTAATCTCATTCACTGGCTCTATAATTGTAGCTAGGTCTAGATCTTCATAAACATATTTTAAAAAAAATACTTGACACCAACAATGCCAACAAAAACTTTGATATTGATGTGTGCATTAAATGTTTTGCACAAATACTCAATGTAAAAAACAACCCAACAATTGTCATAAGCAAAGCCATTAGGATTGCACTAAAATGTGCATCTATTATCAAATAATTGGTATACAACATATCCATCTTCATCTTGCATAGTTTGCTTATAAATCCAACCACATCAACAAACTATGCATTTTTTTTTATTAACCTTTCAAGAAATAAACATGCTTTTGTGGTAAATACTTGTGCAACCAAATTAGGTCTATAGATGTGGTTTGGAGTTCAAAAAACTTGCTTAGAATCTTTGCCTATTTTAAATTACATGTAAAAGTAACAAAAATATCAAGAATTTTTTTATGAACAAGCAATCTCCATAAAATCTTAATATACATATAGCATTAAGCAGGGTGAACTTGGGATGCCTACAAAAAGAACAATGCAATGCCTAACTTGCATAATGTTCAAACCTATGTCAACAGCAATAACGTCTTCAATTTTGCTATATATTTCAGCTTTTTGTGTGTCTCAATTCAAAATCACAAAATTCAAATTATTTTGTTCAATTTTTGACATTACATCAATAATGCATGATTGAACTAGGTGATTGTTGTATGAACAACCATTCATCTTTGCCAAATATGCAATTTATATACATGAAAGGCTTGAATTGACACTTTGTGGTTTTTAGCTATTTGTTGGATGATGTCAATCCATCCATTGTCATTTTCAAGGAAGAGCAAAGGATATTGAAGTGGATTGTATGTAAGAACAAGAGCATTCATAAATTAAATATCTTATTTATATATATGTTTTATGTCTACATTGTGATTCCTCTACTTTATCCATCTATCTATGAAGAAACATTGCACCTTCATTTGCCGTTAGCGTAGCATACATGCGCGGCTTTTACCATTTATTGTTTAAGGGATTTGCTATTATAACAATTCTCAATTCTTCATGTTCAAAAATATTCATATATGAAATTACTTTCTGAAGTATTCCTTAGATTTTTGCCAAATGAGCTTTGTTAAGACTTGGATTCTAATATGATCTATTTTTAACTTTATTTGCCAAATTATACCCATAGGCTTCCAAAAATCAATTATGTGCATCAAGCAGTAGTAACAAGTCTCCTGTTATATGATAATAGGAATCTTATACATTATATGTATGGATTCTAAGACCCAACTGAAATCTAACACAAAATCATATGACTGAATATTGGTTCATAATTTACAATTGTTCCAATTTTCTAGCAATGGGAGGTAATTCAAAGGAGTATGTACCTTTGAAACAAAGACCTGACTTTGTAAACAACATTTGCTATACTGTGGGTTACAAATCAAAGAATTGGTTCACTCTTTTGTCTAAAATTGAACTTTGCAAAATTCACATGTTCTATTCAATTATTCAAATACATTACGATTTATATCAAGGTCAACCAAAACATTGTGCAAATCCCTCAAGCTGACAAGCAGCTAATATGCTTGCAGTGCCATACTGTGTCTAATCAGTAGCTCTATGTGTAGCTCTTTCATTGTTAACTTTTGCTTGACATACAACATCGTGTTGTTCTACATCAATTGCTCGATGTTGAGCACAATATGGTTTGTTATTGGCAGATTATTGGATTTTTATTTTTATTTTTTTAATTTAATTTTTTATATTGATATAGAAGCAAGGCAATTTGCTTTTGTTTTATAGATACAAGGGCAACCTCAACTGCAGTTACATTGGTTTAAAAATAAATTGGGATCTATGTTTTAGTTTGTTTGGTTTTATTTTGTATTTTTGTGTTTTTTTTAAAATAGAGGATGGAGAGGAGGAAGTGAGAACATGTTTCACAATCACATCACAAATTTCTACTCGACCCACCTCTTCATAAAGAACTATTGTTGATTTGTTTTTGTTTTTGTAATCTTTATATTTAGAAGATAAGTAGAAGAAGTAAAACTATTTTCTTATGCACAATTCAAACAACTTGAAGACATTGAGAATGCATGAAGGTAGCCTTATTCTAAGATTGTAAAAGTGTGATGCAAGATAAGTCATTGGATTATCTTAAACATGACATGAACTCATTGATCATGGGTTCCACAATTGTTAATCATCCAAAAACAAATGACATCTAAGGGCTTGGAACAAAAAAGTTAATGAGTTGGTTATAACCACAAATTGTGTTGAGATGTGCGGAGGTATAATGCGCCAATGGTACAAACAAAGGGGCAAAATAAGAAATTGCAATGTGGTTGTGAAACATAATTCCACTTCACACCTCCTCCATTTTCCCCCACCTCTCATTTTCTCTCTTTCCATCCTCCATCTTCTAAATACAAAGAGCACAAAAACACAAAACAAAAAATAACCACCAATGATTTTTTATGAAGAGGTGAGCTTGCACTTAAAAGACATGGTGAAATTTTGTTAGTGCCACTTGGGTCACTACTCATGCTATAAATTGTTGTAATAATTAACATTTCACTACATGTTACATATTACTCTAACAACTATAGTCAATCATTGATTTTAATAAACAAACAAGTTGACACAATTTTTTTATAAAAAAATACTACTGTTTTTTTATTTAATAATTAAAGTTTTAATTGATGCATGTTAAAAAGGTATACATTGTATTATGATTCTAAATTTTATTTTTTTATTTTTTAAAAATATTATCATGTTGCTTTATTTATTTAGTTAACTATCAATTATTTTAATATATACTTACTTTTTTTATATGTTATGAATCCACATACTAATTTGGAGCAGTGTTTTTATGGTACATTACCAACTATGCTCATGGTACAATATACTTATGCATCACTAAGTAAGAAGGAAGAAAACAAAGAAGAATATGTATCTACATATATATATATGATAGGAAAGTTCAAAATGACTACTGGCAAATGGAAACCCTAAACCCAAAAACCTGCATTTGTTATAGTTTATATATTTGTATTAGGTGCAGAAATTTAAAGCATTAACATTAAGTTGTAAAAAAATTAAAATTAAATTAAAATAATTAATAATAATAATATCAACTTCTAATTATCACATACATATCAAAATCAATATAATATATAACATTACAATTCATATGTAAATATAAAAATATAAATTTTATGTAAATATAAGTAATTAGATTAAATATGTGAAATTATACATTAAATTTTGATTTTTATTTTTATTATTTAAAATTCTTAAATATAATATATTTAAATTTGAAAAAAAATAATAAAATAAAATAAAGTAATGGTATAAAATGAAACTATTGCAACCAAATCAATAAAATTTAAATGGAAAAAATGAAAAAAAATTATATATTATTTTTAGAATGTAAGTTATTGAATTTTTTTTTATTATAGTCTAAAATAAAATTGTTAGATTTTAAAGTTTGAAGATATTGCAAGAGGTAGAATCAAGAACAAGTTGACACGTAAGTGTGGTTTGAAGAGATTGCATAAATGGTTCTAATTAAGATTATTAGTGTCAAAAAGATTTTTTTAAATCAATCAGTTTTTTCAAAAAATATCTATCTTTCCATATATATATATATATATATATTGAAAACTAATGTGATTTTATTTTATTTTATTTGTTAAAAAAAAATATTTTTCCAATAATTTATTATTTAATTCACCTTTTAAAAAGACCTTTGAAAAGTTTCAACAAAATTTATTGCCTTGATTTTAGGATTTATTTTTTAATTAATTACTAACTATATATATATTAATTAAAGCTAAATATTAAACATTTGTAGAAAGATCACAAGGATTTTTGAAGAGTATAATGTTATTATAACAGAATTTAAATATTTGTATAAAAAGCATTCATCTTTATTGTATTATTAATTTTTTATCCGTAATAAATATTCTTGTGTTTTTTGTATATTAATATAATAATAATAATTTTTTTAAGAAATAAAAAATCCAATTATTTTAAATTGTGTGCATGCATGTACATATGCACATGTATACCAAATCACCTCAAAAACATTGCTTACTAATCTTTCTTCACTACGATATATATATATATATATATATAAAATGCTTTTCACAAATTTTCCTTGAAAATTTTTTTGAGATATAAATATATATATATATATATATATACATATACACAAATAAAGTTTGGTTTCGAAACGTAAGCAAATGGATACTCTTACACACGCCAATTTTGAGATGAAAACTTTTTTTCCGGATGGGTGTATCCTCCCTCACCAGAGAGAAGGTGGGTGTGGCGGTGTGAACGCGTCTCTCCTCTCCATCGTTTTCGAGGCTCCCGACACGTCGTCCACCGCCACCAAATACCAAGTCCCGTTAATGGAACTTGCCGACGTGGCAACTTCTCCACGTGTCATCCAGCCCACCCTTCCCCATGCGTTTCGGTGCCAGGTGGCTCCGTGCGTAGGATCTTCATGCAGAATGTCCCGGCCCCAACACATAAGAACCAAGTTAGAAAAGTTAAAGTAACGCACATTTTGCTAAATTCCATGTCCCTTATGAAAACCGTGTTACTCTAGTTTAAATCCTTTCATATATTACTTTACCTTCATGCTACAAATTTCGTTTCTTCGAATGTAAAATTTTAATGGAATAGGTTCCAGTAGTAGGGCCCATCATTTGCACAAGGCAAAGCAAAAGCATGAAATCACACGGCGATAGGGTTTGGTAGGGCAGTGAAAGGGGGTACCTGCCGGTGCTCGATCACCGTGACAGACTCTGCCGCTGTCGCTGGGAGCCTACAACGTCGCAGTGCACTACATGTGTCCTCGGGACCTGGTTTGCGTTGCGCCAATTCGATGGGTGTTTAGAAGGAGCAATCGGAACAATCAGCTCTTGTTTGCAGAGGTTTGAGAGAAACGAATAACTCGCAGTGTTTTTAGTAATTACTGGCAAATGCGGCACGTGGTTAGCTTGGCACTGCAGTGGTAGGGAGCAGCTTGTTCCAGGCACACACATGAAAGAAGGATGAGTTTTCCAACAGCTCTGAAGAGAGCATTGAAGTCTCGTTTGTACTAATGTGGGATTTAGTGTGGGAGGGCTCATGGACGGAGAACTGGGTCATAATGCCCTGTTGGGAGTCTTCGTCGTCGTCATCGTCGTTGCTGTCGTAGTCTTTGATCTGGAATCCCGCGGCTGACATGCATCGGAAACCATGACCCAGGTGTGTTTCCAGCAATTGGGAATGGAACTGGGAGCGACGAGTTCAATCTGACAGAACGGGGCGTTGGGTGGCCGATGTGGAGGCTCCGCATGTCCTTTGCTTAATTTAGGAAAAGAAGAGAGTTCAAAGCGACACTGCGGAAGTACTTGGGGAGAGATGTTCTTCTTGCAAAGTGGTCGAAGCTCTCGCTGCCGAAACCACGCATTAGCCCTTAAGCTCCTTTCGTACGTTCCACTCCATGCAGCCCTTCATTCCATCAACCCCCATTTGCCACCCATACCTCACGCCCCGATCTCCCGAGACCATCTCAAGACACCGTTTGCATGCCTTGACCCGTCTCAGTCACAGACCAACTTTTGGGTTCCTCTCATTGATCATAATTGCTTGGAAACAGATTAGGGAACAAGAGAGTCTGTAAGTTGCAATGCGAGGAATTGTGGTAGCGGAGGATTGAAGAACCGCTGAGTCAGGCGTTTGTTTTGTAGAGCAGGTGAGTGCTTGTGACCAGCTACTTTCTTTCACTTTCTTGTTGTGTTCGAAAGGATGCACATTGTGAACAGCTGAGCGTTGCTGATTTCCGGAAGTTTGGAGTGATATACAGTAAATGCTCGGACCCCCCGCCCCGATCTATCTCTCCAGGGGAACACGCGTGCTTGATCTTTCTTTTATATATATATATATATATATATATATTGTTAACTTTTTATGGGGAAGAGTTTTTGAGAAGGTCACTGTTAGCTCGAGTTCTTGGACACGGATTGGTACGTTTGTATCTACTACGTTGATGCTTGAGAGCAGCTTCACGTACATCGTCAGAGGTATCAAATTTGTTGGTAGGCATTGGAAGGGTTGTTTGAAGCTAAGCTACAGAAGTTTGCGTCGCATACATCATACCACGGTTACATTAGAATGTAGGTTGAGCTCCAAACTAGGTTGCCTGGTTCAATCTTTTCTTGCTTGAAGACGAGCATCGAATTGCTTTCAAATCCTGTCCCGTGAAGCATTCGCCAGCAATTGGGGCTTCGCTGTGTCCCAGCGATTGCGGCATTGCAGGGACTTTCTCAGTCTGCTTTGATGATTTTGTGCATCTATCTCGGATCTTCATCTGACCTTCGACTGCTGTATGAACCAGCGAGTTGCAAAAGTTCCAAGCCTTGTGATTATTGGTTGAAAATTGCTCGAATCGATGCTCAAATTTTGGTGTTGTTGAAGCAATTATCAGCAAAATGCATTAAGGAGTAGAGAACTTTCTGTGCCTCGAAATCTAGGTTGGTTCCAAGTGGTGTGTGTTTGTGTGTGCGGACTGCGTAGAGTTTTTGGGGTCATATTCCCATTTCGTAGGTATATTCCGATATCCTCCTTTCTTCTTGAGGCTCGTGGTAGAGATTGCCCCGCAATGCTGTTACTTTCGCCTTATACATTCGATGAAAGCTCTTGTTAAAGGCTGTGTTCAGCTTCTGAAGACTAGCCTTGATGTGGGTCTCTCCTTTTTGGAGGCGAACTTTACACCTGTATGTTCGGTTTATGACATCTGCTGATGCTGATGTAGTGATGGGATGTTTACAGGTGTGTTCTTAAAAGAACTATCAACATTGGGGTTGCGGAATATCAAAGACCTGATTAGTTATGCATCTTTGTCTTGGAAATCCGACTTCTTGGCGCAAAACGTGAATTGTGGATTCCCCTAAACTAATGAGTAAGATCGCCTTGTTGCAATCACCGCACTGATTGAAAGGCACGTTAAGGCGACAAGCAATCGGTCTTTATGGGGATAGGCAATGGTAACTGGAAGCAGTACTCACAAGGAGGCCCAGGCGATCATTATCCCGGGATGGGGTGTGGCAAAGTGAGCGTTGTTGTGGGCACAGCCTGTACACTATCTTTTGTCTATGCTCTGTCTCTCTTGCTCATGAGCACGCGCCCCTGCTGGAACGCCTGTCAACCCACGCCTTGCGCTTCGTTGAGCACTCTCCCGGTCGGCTACAACGACACTATCTCTCAGTTAGCAGTTCCTGGTGGTAATTTTTCTGAGTCAATGGCCCAGGTTGATCATTTTGCACCCCTTAAGGCAGAGGGTCAATTCCCTGCTGATGAAAAGGGCGAGGTCGCAAACTGTACTTCCACCTTCAACGGAAGGCATACTGGCACAGATATCTCAAGAATAGTGTTCGGCATCGCAGGAGCAAGGGATATGTGGTGGGGAAGGAAAGAGTACTTGAAGCTGTGGTGGAAGCCTTCAAAGATGAGAGGGTTTGTGTTTCTAGATGAGAAGCCTTACGGGGATTATTGGATCGACGACTGGCCTCCCTACAGAATTTCAGAGAATACTTCCCATTTCGAGTACACATACAAAGGAGGCTCGCGATCCGCTATTCGGATCTCACGCATCTTGTCAGAGATGCTCAGAATGGATCTCCCCAATGTGGATTGGTTCGTGATGGGAGACGATGACACTCTCTTCTTTGAAGACAACCTCGTCCAAGTTCTGTCAAAGTATGATCACACCAAGATGTACTACATCGGAAGCAACTCTGAGAGCCACCTTCAGAACATTCACTTCTCCTACAACATGGCCTTCGGTGGAGGAGGATTTGCCATCAGCTATCCGCTTGCCAAGGCGCTTGAGAAAATACAAGATGACTGTCTTGCAAGGTATACCACGACATATCCTGTTTCCTTTGACCGTCTTTCGGTCAACATGAGTGCGGACAAATTGATGGGCTCTCTAATTCATGTTGAAGTGTGGTAACAGATATCCGCACCTGTTCGGAAGCGATGATCGGATGCAGGCATGCATGGCAGAGCTCGGTATTCCCCTGACCAAGGAACCAGGGTTTCACCAGGTTGGTATAATTTTCGTTCGCTCTAAACCAGAACGTTTCAATTTCTCTAGAGTTATTTCGAAACTAGAGAAATCATAAACTAGAACTTCGTGCTAGTTTTCTATTCTGTCGTTTCATCAAAGAATAAAAAAAAGGTAACCTTGAAGGGCCGAAGATGAGAATTTGACTGAGTTGTGCATGCAATTCTTCAATACGTGCAGCTTGATGTGGTAGGAGATATATCTGGTTTGCTTGCTGCGCATCCAGCGGCTCCTCTAGTGACTCTTCATCACCTAGAGATAGTGCAGCCCATCTTTCCGAACACGGCCACGAAAAACTTCACGCGCGTAGAAGCATTGAAGCACCTGCTCAAGGCCGCTGAAGTTGAAGCTGCGAGTATTCTTCAACAATCAATCTGCTACGACCGATTCCTCAAATGGTCATTCAGTATCTCGTGGGGCTACGTTGTGCAAGTTCATAAGGGTTTTGTCAGTCCTCGGGAGCTCCAAATTCCCCAAAAAACTTTCAAGTCGTGGCACAAAGATCAGAACAAAGTGACTTTTCCTTTTAACACCAGAGACTATCCTGAAAATGTTTGCCAACAACCAACCAGATTTTTCATGGAGTCTGTTAAGCCTACCGCTGTAAACTCTGAAGGTGAGATGGAGGGCGTCTTTCAAAGAGAGTACTACGAAAAGAAGTACACCTGCGCTGAAACCCTACAGCCATTAAGCACTGTGCACAGGATTCGCGTGTTAAGGAAAAAGATTGACCCCTCATGGTATCAGGTAATCTTTCTTGTTCTCTTGGCATTCTCTCCACTTCATTGCTGTTACAATTCGCATTCGCTTGAATACATGGCATGGGTCGAACTTAGCAATGATCGCTAAATCATCGCTAAATCATCGCTAAATCACTTGCTATTGTTTGCAGATGCCAAGAAGATCATGTTGCAGGATCAGGAATTGGGAGAATGAGAATATTGATATTCATGTCGGTCTCTGCGGGGACAGTGAGAGTATCATCGGTACCTTCGGGTGATGTTGCCGAAGCACTCAATCCTGCAACCTGCCGACAATTGGAGTCATTATCTCTGCCCGATTTATAATGATCAGAAGATTAAATCCGCAATCCAATGTTCACCAGCTCCGAGTTCATCATATCGTAGATGCTGTCCACCACCACGAAATGGCTACAAATTGCAGTAATAGCTCCAAAGCTGCCAGCTCCGCTATGGTGAGGAGCTCTCATCTCCCAGACAACACTAATCGAGCACAGAACGAGGGTTTCTCAAGCTTATTTACTGCATGCAGCAGCAGATAGCACCAGATGTAGATGAAGCAGAGTAGAATTTCTCGATTTATCGATTGTACACTGCTAACATGTTACCGAACTGATTTGTTAACCTCTTCGACTGCGTTTTCGCTCTCGCTAACTTCTGTAATTTGGCTTTGGCAACGATGCGACATTGAAATCAGTAAGCTATGCTGTAAATGGAGCTTTCCAAATATTTCGAAGATTTCGCAAATGTACGAGTCCCGATTGCGGCAAAAGAACGCTCATCTGCCTCATCCCACGGCTTGTGTGGATGGTTTACACGTCGAATGCAACTGAATTAGAAACCTTGTCGCCATCCATGGTTATGAATCAGGCCACGGCACGCAATTCCATGAGACTTGAAATTTAGGGTTTCAGTGCGGCACACAGTTCCGAAAGACGAACTCTCTTTTCTAAGGCGAGCAATCCGACCCTAAGTTAGAGAAAATTAAAAGTTAAAAAAGAAAAGAAAAAGAAAGAGGTTTTAGGATATTGGATTGCTGATATATCATCTGATGAGTTTAGTATAATTGATCAAGTAATGGGTCTTGCCACATTTTTGTGAAGGTTGCTACTCATTGTTAATGAGAAGAAAAAAAAAAAAAAAAAAAAAAAAAAATCACAGTGTTTGAGACTTTGAATATAATCCAGATAATGTATATATGTATGGAGATAAATAAATGGTACAATTTTTTGCTTGTTTGTATTCTAATGTTTATTACCAAAATCTATTTTTAAAATGGATGTTTCTAAATGTTTCTAAAAACACATTCCCAAAAGACGTATTTAGCTATCAAGATAGAAATACAAATGAAAAAGTTTACACCTTGAATTGAGAGTGTTTTCTTCTTTCTTTTTATTTTCTTAAAAATTGCTGAATCGATTTGATGAAACTAAAGTCGCAAGTTTTTTACATTTCTTTTAGGTTACCATTATGATTGATTTCATTATCATTATTATTTCAAAATATCTTGATTGAATCTTGCAATTATTTGGCTCACAGTTAGTGAAAAGGCTTTGTGAGGTTCCAATCCACCATTGGTGAATTAATAATTAAAATAAAATACAAGTCATCAAGCATACAGTTAACGCACAATTAGAAGTCCATTCAGAATTTCAACCAATATTTGAAACATTACAAAATTTAACCAATAATTAATATATCCCATTTTTTCCCGACAGATACAAAGAAAAGTAACAACGAAATCATGCTGTACAATTTACGCAGAAGTTACGGTAATACATACACAGATACATATGCAAACAAAACTTAGAATACAATACGCAATACGATTACGGCGTCACGTCGAGTACGAGGATGACCGACCAGGCCCGTGTCCATTCCTGCGAGCATCGTTGGGAACACGCGTCCCCTTCGTGCTCACTGTTCCCCGGGGGTGCTCCCAATGCGTGCGCCGAGACGTTCCCAACGCAGGAAGGTTGAAGGGGGGAGAGACGAAGCGAGAGAAGTGTAGTTACGGGAAGATGTGGAGGAAGCTTGGGACGCCACAGCCAGCCAGGTCTGTTGCTCTTTGTTGTTGTTAGTTTTGATCTTGTATAGGATTGTTGAAGGCGCTGTTGGTTTGTTATTTGGCGAGGAGCAATGGCGTCGACAGCAGTAGGCCGGCCGGTTTCTGCCCTGAAGGAGTCGGGGAGCGGGAAGGACGCGTCGGGATTGTGCCCTAGCAGCGAAACCCTATCGCACGCGCTGGATTACAAGGAAAGCGATCCCGCGAAGGCGATCGCAATGCTTCGGGAGGTTCTCTACCACCCTGCATCGACGGCAGAGGTCCTGCGCGTGAAGGAGCAGGCGATAACGGCGTTGTCGGACCTGTTGTCACAGGAGAAGAAGGCGGAGGAGCTCCGAGGGCTGCTGACGGATTTGCGACCTTATTTCAATTTGATACCGAAGGCCAAGACGGCGAAGATTGTGAGGGGGATCATTGATGCCGTGGCCAAGATTCCTGGTACGTCGGATTTGCAAATTTCGTTATGCAGGGAGATGGTGGAGTGGACGAGGGCTGAGAAGCGAATGTTTCTGAGGCAAAGGGTGGAGGCAAGGCTCGCAGCTCTTTTGATGGAGAACAAGGAGTATTCCGAAGCGCTTAGTCTGTTGACAAATTTAGTGAGGGAAGTGAGAAGGTTGGATGATAAACTGTTGCTTGTGGATATTGACTTGTTGGAGTGCAAGCTGTACTTCTCTTTGCGGAATTTGGCCAAGGCGAAGGCTGCTCTTACTGCAGCAAGGACGGCAGCGAACGCTATCTATGTACCTCCTGCGCAGCAGGGCACGATCGATCTCCAGAGTGGTATTTTGCATGCTGAGGAGAAAGACTATAAGACTGGGTTCAGCTACTTTTTTGAAGCCTTTGAGGCTTTTAATGCATTGGATGACCCTCGAGCTGTTTTTAGTTTGAAATACATGCTGCTATGCAAGATCATGTTAAACCAGGCTGATGACGTGGGTAGTCTCATCTCCTCGAAGGCAGGGCTGAAATATACGGGTAAGCTTCAATTTTCGGTATTACGTCGTTATTTTTTTTTGCTCTGCATGGTGGTGAGTATGGGAATTGGTATTTCGTACATGTAACAAGGTGCTATTTCGAATCATTGTCAGGCTTCCAAGCCATGTTTTGGTGAATTTTCATTTGGAATGTATGTACAAGGCCCTAACTATGGTCAGCTTGCGGTGGTTAAGAAACGTCCGCTTGCCTACATGGACTCTTCCTGCTTTTTTAAATAAGAAGCTGATGTGCAGTCGCTGAGTTGAAGTTGTAATAATTGTCATTTGAGGTCTTAGTTCTTTGCGCTGGGTTGGATCTTGAGAGGCACACCTCAGTGAATGCTATTGCTGAGGTGCATCCCAGATGTACGTTGGCCCAACAAGATCCTAAAACCCCCTCGGTTTGGAACGGTTTCAGTGTTGCAGTTAGTTTTCCAGAGTTCGATAAGTTGCAGTAACTGAATAGTTTACAGTAGTTGGTAGGTCGTACTGGTTCATGTATTGAATGGCGATAAGTCTCCTGCTTTCTCTGCACCTTAGAACATGTCCCAGTTGGGTGAGTTTTATTTTTATTTTTTATGATATCACGTAGTGGAATATTGATGGAAGATTTTATAGCAGTGAAGTGTATTATTCTAAAAATTACTGCATTTACTTCTGCAAATACCTGGGACCCACGTTTAGGTTATGTTTTCTCGTTTCGAGGCTTCGGACTGTTCGATTGACACAAATCATGTATCATGTATCAAATCAGTCTGGCGATGTTTTATGCCATGTATATTGAACACAAGCTTATTATTTTCCAGTTTTATTGCTTTTTGCTGTTTTGTGCACTGGTTTAGTCAACAATTGGGACAATTTAGTATAATTTAAACGAAGGTTATATACTTGTAAAATGCTCATGGCAAGTTTGTGTTGCAGGTGTGGAACTAGACGCAATGAAAGCTGTCGCAGATGCTTATGGCAAGCGATCCCTCAAGAATTTTGAAGAAGCATTAAACGTGTACAGAGAGCAGTTAGAGGAGGACCCAATTGTGCATCGTCATCTATCGTCTTTATACGACACCTTACTTGAGCAGAATCTCTGCCGCTTGATTGAACCCTTTTCTCGAGTGGAGATTTCTCACATTTCTGAACTTATTGGCCTCCCAAGTGAAAACGTAGAGAAGAAGCTCTCTCAAATGATCCTTGACAAGAAATTTGCGGGTACTTTGGACCAAGGAGCAGGCTGTTTGATCATTTTTGATGATGTGAAACCTGATGGAATATATCCATCTACGCTGGAAACTTTATCTAACATTAGCAAGGTGGTAGATAGTCTCTACTTGAAATCGGCCAAAATAATGGCGTAATGTACTTTCTGATTTTCTGTTTCAGTGGGTTGCGTCCAAAATCACTGCGTCTGTTGTTCCGATATATGGAAAGTGCGCCCTGTATCATGTTCATCTTTTGTCCTCACGAAGAGTCACCTGTCTAGAATTTCAGTTAGTGACCAACAAAGAAGTACCTGATGCGACCTGAAGTAGATGTTCAGCACTGTGCAGCATGTTTTGGTAGTGTACGTTTCCGAAACCGTCACCATGGGTAGTGTAAGGGAAGTTGCATTTGGGGACCTTTTGATTGTTCATTTGGTACTTGTAGTGTTCTCTGTTCTTATATTTGCTTGTGAAATTGTGCTGAATACCTCGAAGTGACATGTAACTTCTGAGTTTATGCCCCCTGACGGTAACCGTGTTCCACTCTTTAGTGTTCCATTATGATTTTTAACTATTGTGCTCCACATCTGACAAGAAAGAAGGATGCTTCATTGTTTCTTTTGGTAATAAAGTCTCGGTGTGTAAGGATGGCACAAACAGTGCACCATTCATCCATGAGAACTCCCTCCACTGAATATTTTGATGCAAAGGCTGAGTTATTTCAATGATAAACAATGGGAATGAAAGTGCAAATATATTGGATATGGTTCTCTAGAACACATGGAACGTAAACTGCAACCCCTAATTACAAACATCATATGCTTCAATCGTTAACTTCTCTTACAATTCTAAATGAATTGTTTTGTGTTTGATGCCTACACACGTTTTGAGTTTGATCCCAAATCATTGTCATATTTATTTTTGAAAATCCAATGCATCTTTACTACATGTTCAAGAAAACCAGACAATGCTCTTGAAAAACTCAATAATGTCTGTTTGAATCCCTTGACTAATTTTAATAATATTAAAGATTTCCTGCATCTACAGTTTTAAACAATAATGTGGCTTCACAAATGTTATAATTGGTGATTTTGGATACATATGTAAGTTGCCAATTGCACCTGCTAGATTTCTAACCTATTTTCTTTGAAAAATAATATATATATATATATATATATATATATATATAAGTTCTAAATGAACTATAAAGGTTACAAAACAAAACTAGATAAGGTAAGACTATTTCTCAAAATATCAGCCTTAAACTTTGGATAAAACCAGTTAAATTGATATATAACTTAAATCTTTAATAATTAGATTGAAAACTAAGAGAATATAGATAATGATACAATCTGTAATTTAGAACTTTCATAAATGATATTGGCACTTTTTACACAAAATCATGTGCATTTTTTGATTGTTACATGTTTTTATTTTTATTTTTATTTTATTATGGTAATACTCATGTTTGCTTGACTATACTTCAACACAGATTTATGAAATATGTATTTTATTTATTACTTAATTCCTTTGGTATGAAATTATTTTTAGGAATATTGAAAAATATTGTTTGCCTTCAAACAAAAAATAAGAATTATAATTGCTGAATTTGAAAAACGAGTTTAAAAAAAAAGAAAAAAAAGAAAAACGTCATTTGAATCAAGTTCCTCACAGAGCAATGATATACATTAATTTGGAACACGTGGTTTTGAAATTCACTATAATATAACAACTCTATGACTAATCTTATCACTCATTATCATGTATGTAAACTAAGGATCATAAAGTTTGTGTTTTCAAATGCTCTATAAAAAAAATGTGAATATATAAAAGCATAAGGTAAGCTATAGTGCATCATATAATTATATACAATTAAATTTACCCCAAATTTGTAGATTTTTGATTTACTATAAGATGAAATTGTTTCACAAAAGAATATTTTACTTTATTTATACTAGATGCTGATTCAAACCAATATATTTACATATAATACACTTTAATTGTATACTTTTTCTAATTTACACAGTTTAAAAATCACTTGTGAGTTCTTGTTAGTTTTAATATTTGATTGATATTTTGAACTAAATTCCTTATTTTTTTTATGTTTTGATCATTTCTTACATTGCTTGTAATTCTAATCTTATTATTAAATTTGTATAATTTCATACTCATAAATATATATATATATATATACATACATACATACATAGACACTTACATGAATCATTTGTTCATTTACCTCTTAATGATATTCCAAATCTCAAAAAAAATTCAGTCTATTATGCACACAATGCTTGTTTGAATTAAAAACCTATCTATTATTCTCTATTATATCTTCAAGTTCATGAAATTAATTGAATAAATTTAAATTATTTTAATAATCAAAAAAATTAATAGCCCACCATTAGTTGCAAAGATTTATTTTTTTAAGATTTGTTTATATACCACTTAATTTAAAAAACTTAAGAACTCTATTTTTTTATTATTATATATAAAAATAATAATAAAGCAATCTAAATTTTTAATAAATTGATCCACATGTTTAAAACATCATTGTACTCTTTCAACCTTGTCTTTGTTTCTAGCCATTCCATTGTTCCCAATTGTTGCCCTCCTCCTCCCTTCCTCCATTCCCTTATTCCGAGTCCCTCACCCCTATCCTTAGCAACAGTTGGGAATAGGGAATGGCTGGGAATAGAGATGGGAGCTGCAAGGGTGCAATGATAGTTAAGATAGAGTGAGTTGTTTTATCATTCTCCTATATATAAATATATATTTATATATTAATATATTGAACTTCTAAATTTTCCACCTATACATTTGTTTGTACCACCTTCAGATACTATACAAATCATCTAAGCTTTTTATTGGTAGGCTTTCAAAGTTGTATTTCCTACAAATCTGTTCATAAACCTACAAGATATTGTCCTTAAATTCTAAGGAGCCTTTGTGCTTTTTAAATACAACCTCTAAAGTTTTAATAAATTATGCAAGAATCACACTTACTTGAGAAATAAAAAAAAAATATTATGCTTAAATTTGTTTCCTTATATATACCAATAGATCAATGGCACCATGTAAGAAGACATAGGCGAGAAACAATGAGATATGCATCCAATTATAGATGGTTTTTATCTTATCAAATTTATCCCTCTTAAGTTGTTTTATATAAGAGATTTATTTGTTTTTAAATATACATATTTATAAATAAAATAAAATTTAAAAATAAAATAAATTTCTATGCATTGATCAATTTATTTGTAAATTATATAAATAAAACAAGTGAAATCAGAAATTATAATATGAAACTTGACTATGTTGAAAACAATAGAAAAAGTTTGACATGTTTTGATTATTTCTAAATATTTCTTTTTTAAAAAAATATATAAAAAAATTCCATATAATAGTGTTAACTTATCGATAATTTGGACAAATATTAAGAAGACTTCCTTCACAACTACTGATTATTGTTGCTTAAAAAAAAATCATTAACAATGAATATAAATCTTTTAGTATTTTAAATTATTTTAAATAAATATACCTATTTTAGATTTTATAAAACATTTTTTTTTTTTTTTTTTTTTTTTTTTTTTGAAAATTTATTCAAGTGGTATTTTAGCTTAATTCGAAATTTTTTATATTGAAGAAATATTATGTAATAAGGTTTTGCAATTCCATTCAACTTGCTTTTATTTTTACATTTCCAGCAATTGGTCATCACATGCAACTGTACACGTAATAAATTCATGGGAATTACTAATGTTTGGCATTCCATGAACTAGTTTGTATTTTACAGTATCCATGAAATTACATGGGTATTGACAATATGGTTTTCCTATCACAATCAATATTGTATTTAAGTTGTCAAACATCAACATTATATATATTTAATTGCGGTCCATTCTTTTTTCTAAAGGATTTTTCAAGCTCTACCATAATAATAAAAAAATTGCGAAAAAGAATGAAAATTTCTTTTCAGCATCAGCACAAACTATACCAAAATGAACTTTCTTAAGTAGAATACTTAAAAATTAACTTAATAGTGTTAGATCTTTTTCATCAATTTCCGATTCACCATAAAGTAACTTAGGCAATCAAAAATATTATTTGATTATTAATTGGTAAACTCTTTTAAATTATGTTATATATATATATATATATATATATATATTAATTCCTTCAATTATATTTAGTTGTATGACATGAAAGAGGGATTTTGTAATCCTCCTACTATATCTTGTAAGTTGTTTAGAGTAACAACAAAAACATTCAAGTATATTTGCCAGAATAAACCAAAGAATATATTGTGTAACAAAAGAGCTTGTTTGAGTGTATTTATTTAAAACATACCATATTACTTACATATATATTTTTAGTATAATTAGAAGATTAGTAATTTTTTTTAAAGAAAATTTTTTTATGAAATAAAATATTATTTAGAAGATAATGATTTGAAACTTCTAAGATTGAGTTTTATATTTCACACAAAGGACAACCAACAATTATAAATATGAATAAATAACCTTAGAAACACAATTAATACATTAACAGTTAATTTACAATCTTTATGATACAATAATATCTATTCACAAATAGAAAAAAATTAAGAATTTTAAAGATAAATAAAGAGTTGAAATTTGAATTCATTAAATGAAACACCAAACAAATCTAGATGCATGAAGTTTATTATGTTGGATCTTTATTACAGATTTTGTAATCAATTAGCTATTTTGATTGTAATATATATATATATATATATATATATATATATTTTTTTAATGTTTTCAGTTCAAAAATTTAAAAATATTATAATAGTATAATAAGTCAAAAATAAAGATATAGGTTATATAAATGTAAAAGCAAATTTTACAAAATTCAAATTTATTATTTTATATATTATCATAGAGATAGACTGGAAATAAATAATAAAACAAATAATTGTTTTGTAGTTTTTTTTTACTTCAGTAATCATTTAATAATTTCATTAAATTTTGATCTTTGAAAATGTATAATTTTTCAAAGTTCAATTTTAAATTTGGTGATTGCCATAATTACGAACTCAATATTATAAACTATTGAAAACAAGAATAATGTTGAATGCCCTTTTGAGTGTTAGTTTTTTGCATTCATAAGTATTCCAAATAAAAGTCTTTCTCATTCATTTGTAATGCTATACACATTTGTATATCTTATTATTTATTATTGTTATGTATCATAAAAAAAATTTTATTCTAATTATCCTTAGATCTGAAAATGAGATTATCTATTTCGTTGCTTTATTTTTTCAACATAACAAATTTCTTGATCCAATTCCAGTGGAGCGAAATTGCTAAGATTACTATTCAAAACATCTCCAAAGTTTCAAAAACAGAAAAAAGAAAAAAGAAAAAAAAAAGAAAAAAAATTTAAATATTTCATACTGGTATCTGAAGAAGACATGGAAACATGAAAATATATATGTCAAGGTTTTGGAATATTTTTGACTTCATAATTTCTATGAGGAAATTTATAAAGTCAAAAATATTCCAAAACCTTAACTTACAAAAGTTTAAGTTGCACTTGATTTTTATTTTGTTTTTTTATTGTGGAAAAAATCATGTTGAGTTGGCCATACTTCATCACCAACTTATGAAATATGTATTTTATTTATTTATTTTATTACTTTTGTATGAAATCTTTTTTAAGGATATTGAAAGATTCAAAAAATAAGAATCAGAATTGCAAATTTGAAAGATGAATTAAATAATTAAAAAAAATAAAAAAAATCTGAATCAAGCTGTTCACAGAGCAATATTATGCATAAATTTGGAATACGTGGTTTGAAATTCACCATATTATATCAAGTCTATGAATGATCTTATCAGTTATTATCATACATGTAAAACAGGGAGTCACGAAGTATGTGTTTTGAAATGCTCATTTAAAAAAAAATGTTAATATGTAAAGGCATAATATAAGCTATTGCTTATCATATAATTATATACAATATAAATCTACCCCGAATTTTTTATTTTTTTATTTTACAATAAGATAAAATTGTTTCACAAAAGGATATTTTACTTTTTTTTATGGAAGTCACTAATTTGGAAACCAATATATTTAGATATAATGTACTCAAAACCAGTTCAACCATGTACAGTGCTAGTATTTTATTATCACCTTTTTATTTGACACTGCTACCTCTAGTTCTGGAGGAATGGAAGGATTGCAACCATCTCCCATTACAAGCAATCTAAAGTGGGGTAAGAAAGCAAGGCTACTTGGCAATTCCGAGAGTGATTGACACCCTCTTACATCAAGTTTTACAAGATTAGGAAAGCTCTCAAAGCTTAGATGCTCATGCTCCAAATTCTTGAGGTTGGAGCAAAAACGTAGATCTAAGGTTTGTAAGTTCTTCAATTTTGCAAATGACTGTGGGAGGATATCAAACTTCTCTAAATCTAGTAAATGAAGAGATTTAAGAGATGGCATTGCACCATCCTCCAACTCTGGCAACGATGCAAGTTTATAAGATCCGTTCAATTTGAATCTTACGAGAGCTGGAAAGCCATCTTTTCTACCAAAAGAAGTTGGTAGAGTCTCCAAGTTAAAACAATACAAGATAATCAAACTCACCAAATTCGGAAGACGATCCAGAGCTGGAGGTGACACCAACTTTGAACACCATATAGTGAGGGATTTCAGGCATGGGAGGGAACACACACAGTCTGGAATAGAAACCAACCCCACACAATCAAGAGAAAGGCATTCCAAGTGCTGCCAGTCATCACTCCTCAACTCTGGAAACTCTGGAAGTGGCCAACCTCCTCCAACCAACTTCAACGTCTGGAGCCTCTTCGACGCAGTCAGCAACTCAACTGGCCATAGCACCGAGTCAAAATCAAAGAAACCACTCTCGACAGTCAAATGTTCCAAGCCAACGAAAGCGGCGAGGTCCCGCACCGCTAATTTTCCTCTTAACATTTTGGGAAGTCCCTCCCAGAAACCCGTTCTCCACAAATTCTCATTTGAAAAAATCTTCAGAATACGTAACCTTGTGAGGTGAGTCAGTTTGGAAGGTAAGTGACTGAGACGCTCACAACAATCAAGACACAGCTCCTCCATACCCGTCAACTTCCCGATTGACTTTGGGAGCGTCTCTATACCCGTCCCAGACAAATTGAGTACTGCCAGAGATTTTAGTTCTCCCACACCCTCCGGAAGCGCCTTCAAATTAGTTCCCCTCAGATCCAGAACTCGGATGCTGCGAAGATTGTTGAAGAATCTCTTCGGAATACACTCCAACGGATTCTCTCGTAACAGAAGAACCTCCAGCTCCGGGGCATCCAGTTTGGAAGGTAGCTCCTTCAGATTTGTTAACATGACAGACAACCTGCGAACTGAAAGTCTAGTCCTCCTGCCTCTGCCTAGATCCATGGTGTCAGAAGAACTTGCCCATTCACGAGGAAATCCATCCTTCATCTCTCGCCCTGCCTCATACAGGCACTCTCGCTCGGTCACGGCTTTCTCATGCTGCACTATGTGGCGCGCCAGGTCCCGAAGAATATCGTGCACCATGCAGTACAATCCACCCCATTCATTGCTTTTGAGCTCAATCAGCGAGCGGGAGACCAGCACGCCCACCAGCCCACACGCTTCTAGCTTCGGATCATACTTCTGTCCCACAATCCCTTCCGCTCTCCACAACGGCAGCAAATCCTTGTATACGTCGACTTTCCAATCCTCTGGAAATGCAGCAAAGTACAGAAAGCATTCTTGCAATCTTCCATCGATACTTCCAAGCTCGTCGAAACTTACTTTCAGTCGATTGAATAGCTGTGTTTCGTGACCTTTGTCTAGAACATCCGCGTTCCTCAGCTTCTGCAAACACAACTCCCAGAATCCCCGATCAGTTTTCCTTGCAAACACACTCCCAATCACTTTCAGCGCCAGCGGAAGCCCACCACATTCGCCCATCACGTCCTTGGCTAGCTTTTCCAGCTCCGGGGGCACATGAGACGTCCCTCGAAACGCTTGCCAGCAGAACAACTTCCAGCTGTTCTCTTCATCTAGCAACACGAATGCGAGCTTAGTCGCATGGTTTTTGTCCAACACCTCCTCTATGCGAGTGGTGACGAGGATTTTGCACCCCGCCCTTAAGGGGACCACACATGTCACCAAGCGTAGCACATCTTCTTTCCAAACATCGTCCAGGACAACCAGCATGTGCTTCTTATCCTTGAGCTCATTACATAGCTGTGCTGTCAAATCTTCCATGGAAATGTTCCGGCGAACCTCTGAGGGCCCATTGATTTTCTTTCCGAGGTCTAAGAAGAGACTCCGCACCGACAAGTCTCCACCGACAGTGAACCAGAAGCAGCCTCCTGTGAAGTGCGCTCGGATGGCGTCGTCATCGAAGACTCGCTGAGCGGCAAGCGTCTTCCCGGCCCCGCCTGATGCCCAGAACCCTACCATGTGCGTGTTCTGGTCCAGTAACAGCTCCTTTGCATCTTCCACATTCCCATCTCCTCCAAACACCATCTCGCTGTCCACGCCGCGCAGCATGTCAGTGGAGGTGGAGGCTTCTGGCAAAGCTCTAGTGTGTGTGGAAGTGAAGTGGATGTCATCCGCTTCACTTGTGATAGACGATATCGCAGCCATCAAATCTTCTGGGTTTCTGTACTCGTATTGAGACTTGTCAAGTGCCCGTTTGGTAGCATCAGCCAACTTCAGCAGCCCCTCGATCCCGGAGCAAAGCCCCTCATGCCGTTCATTGTTTTCTTCGCGCAGCCTAGTCATATTCGCAGAAGTCACCGAGGTCACTGCCAACACCACAACTGAAGCTTGTGATAGAATTTTGCTCAGCAGCTCCTTCTCCTTCACCAGCTTCCTTGAATTTTTGAACTGAGAAATAGTGAACCGATTCCCCTTCATGTCAAGCAGCAGGTGTTTCAAGCAGTCTAACCTCGTGCGCAAACCCTTCAACCATTCACCCACCGCTCGGTTAGCGGTAGATGGATTAATATTATCCACCATCGGCTTTAGCTCCATCAGCATCGTCTCCAGCTCCTCCGCGTGCTTGTTGCGGTTCCATTCCGGAAGCGCCACCTCCTTCATCATCGCCGACAGAAGTTTTTGCACCATTGGTTGCAGGACGGTTAACGCCACAGCTTCCGCCATTTGTAGATGGGGCACCGTCTCAGAACTCGATGTTGTAGATGAGGTGTTCGAAGTAAACGAATCTAAATAATCGGTGCAACACCACTGTCAGCAGCCAGACAAGACAATGCTATGCCCTCCTGCAAACCTCTCACGAGCGATCATGATCGGATCTGCGTTTGAAAGGCCGATTGAATGAGTATGTAGAACCTGAGTTGTACATGAACAGAGAATATCGAAGGCGAGGTCGCGAGACCCAACAGGCCGCAGCAGCACCGAAGTGGAGCCTGGCCAGGGCAGGTTGAAGGTAACTTGGTCACTGTGGCACTGCCAAACCCTAAGAGCGGTCTGCATCTCAAACCCATCCTCGCTGAAGTGACGCTGCATTGCGACCTGATCCTGCCTCAGCATGCTACTCCAGCCATGGCGGGGCCATGCAAACCGTGCTTTTGAATTGTTCGTTCACTTCTTACTGAGGTATCGCAGCAGATATCCTTTTCACAACAGCTCCCTCACATTATCGTCAACAGTGCTGATGCGAGCTGAGGACTTTGCAGTATTGTGTGGTGGCTCGGTCTCAAGTGACTGGTTATGAGTTGTGAGCTGGTGTTGTAGATTTGCTTGCATCACTGCTTCGACGGCGTTCGTGCCTGTTGTTATCGTCACAGCGTCCGCAAATGATTAGATCTGAAGGCCATTAAAACTAGATCACTTTCAACTGTAACGTTGAACCTTGTTACACATTACGAGGAATAAGCAAAGTTAACCACTTAAGCCATTTGCAGTATTGTAACAAGTCTGGTGAATGAGAAAAGAGTATACTAGTGAATATACTTCCATCAAATATATAAACATATACAGATACTATTTATTTGAAGCATTCAAATCTCAAAAATTTAACAAGGCTAAGAACTGATTTGAATAAAAATAGACAGACACTTCTATTTTATTTTATTTTTATTTTTAATTTTTTTAAAAAAAAGTTAAGAATCATCAACATACGACCTATCTTGTTTACTTATTTTCAAGTTGTTTCCTAAACCTGCGAATTTGAGAAAAATACATGTGTCTCTTTTTGTTAAAGAGGGCACACGGATATGAAGTATAAACAATATATTTACAACTAAATTAAGGGTCTTGCATCTTGGCTGGAGGGGATTAGCCACCACAAATACAGCATTGCATGACCATTAGTATTCATAGTTCTTCTTAATGCATGTTATTTGCTGCTACGGATGTGTAAGAAAAATCACAACAAATGATGGAGAATTAAATGCATAAGAAGCTCATGAATTCTTTGAAAGATGTGGAATTAAACTATCACTGACTACTGCTTATAATCTTGAAGGAAATGCAAAAATTGAACGTGGTCACCCACCGATTGTAAAAGCATTAGTTAAAGCTTGTAATCGGAAGGTTAGAGAATTGCCACGACTTTTGTCATTTGCATTATGGGCTGATCGAACAACTCATAGCTCGGTAACGGGATATATGCCTATTGAGCTTATAACAAGTCAAAAACCGATTATACCAATTGAAGAAAAAGTACCTACTTGGAGTGTGCTACCATGGGAAGATGGATTGACAAGAGAAGAATTTCTAGCAATTAGAATTCAACAATTAGAGCAAAGATCAGAAGATGTACAAATAGCATTAGAAAGGTTAAAAAGAGCGAGGTTACAAAACAAGGCATGATTTGATAAACAACATTGATTAAGGCCTAAAGCAATTGAAGAAGGTAATTGGATTTTGGTCTATGATAGTAGCTTGGACAATCAACATAGTGCTTTAAGGAAGTTTTCTAAATGATGGTTTGGACTGTATGTGGTAAGAATTATTCATGATAATGCAACTTACTCATTACGAGAGTTAGATGGAATAAGGTTAAAAATAAAAATTGTAGGGAAGCAAGTAAAAATATTTAAACAAAGATACACAAAAATAAATATAAGAGACCTAGGTAAAGACATAGATATTCCTCAACAGGAAGATGAATTTTACTTGGATAGCAAAAATGATGAAGAGGATTGGACGAAGACTTTGAAAACATATTATGAATCAAACAATAACTAGGTTATTTGGTGCATACCAAAGGATGCACAAGTTCAAAGGGGGTGGATGTCGTGTTGTAACACGACTACATGGTAAAAATATAAATGAAAAAGATTTTATTAATATTTAGTCATCTTGGATGTTAGAAACAGTAGCCAATTCTAGTGCCAATATTCAGGGGTCAGTTAATGTCACCCTATTGCAAGCTATACCATCGAACATGACAACAACGTATGCTCCACTGGCATCATCAAACCAACTATCTTCCGTACCAACAGGACAACAAAGATCATTTTCTAACCCTATATAGAACAAGCCTAGTAGGTACATACCGATGGAGACACCCAATATGCCTGATGAGGGTGCAAGAAGACCACTTCGTTATTTCCGTTGTAAACAGATTCGTCATTATGCTAGTGAATGTCTCAATCGCAGAGCCAATGACAATTATGCACACGTGTGTGGAAATAACAAGCAATCGGGGCATACTTATCAATAATGTAATGCTCTGTTTAATTTCAATAATCGGAATCAGCGGATCCAAAGCCAAGGAAAAATTGAGGAGATAAATCGAGGTCCTAAAGATACTGTAGTAAATCGGGTGGAATGTGTCCAAGCCGTTCTTACCAAGAGTCGGCAAAACAGGAAAAGACCAATTCAACATTTGGGTGAGCCTGATGTGACGGGCCAATTTGACCCAATTACGGGGACATTCAATCCAGGTCATGTTACGGGCTTCTTACCCAGTATGAAACCTGACTCGGTTGGGCAACCCAATGAAGTCCCGATTACAAAGGCTTTGGTTCCATTTCAAGCTGTTCTATTCTCTATGCCGTTTTGGAGAAACTTTCTTTCCGTGGAGAGGTCCTCTTAGAGGCAAGAATTCCATGGAAGCGCAGTCTACTGTTCCAATTCGGAGTCTAGGGCGGAAGAATAGGAGACCTCACACAATTAAAAAAAAAGAAAGAAAAAAGAAGAGGGCATTTTGAGATCGGGGGATTTTAAGGGTCGGAGAACTAGCTTCAAGCTCCTTCGAAAGGTGTAAGACTTAGTTTTAGAGGGTTTGGGAGGACTTTGCAATCGTTGTCCAAAGTCAGTGTTTGTATTGGTGAATTGGGTTTTTTTTTGCAATAAAGTTAAGGCTAGTACTCTTGACTATTTTGTGAAATTGGAGAAACATCTGTGATTGAAATTTTAGAAATGTCTAGATGGTTGAGTATGCCAAGTGCATGCAAAAATTTGTGTTAATCTAACAGTACGGATAGAGGATATTTGATCATTAGTATAAAGAGGTATATAAAGTTAGCATATTGAAGTTGTTTAGGATTTCTGTAATATCTGGAGATCTATCGATTGGAATAAGATGAATTTTGATGTGGTAAGTCGAGGACTTAAAGATGGAGCTGCATATAAGATTTGAATGAGAATTAACGGTTGGAGAAGGAAAAATTGCAAGTCAAGGTTCGTCATCAACTTTCTAGGTAGCAATCAAGGGACATCAATGTGGATTTACAGCGTTTTCTTGCAATCTGTAAGTTGGATTGGATTGAAACTTCTTGAACATTTAGAAGACTTGCAAAAATACTAGTAGTAGAAGTTTTACAACGATCGGACGGTCAGATTGAGAATTACAGCTTGCCAAAGCTCACTATCTAGGGTTAGGGTTTAAAAATTAAAAAATTAAAAATCAAAATAAAATAAAGTAAATAATAATAAAAAATAAAAAAATAATACTATTAAAAATAAAATAAAATAAAAAAAGAATTTGTGCTTATAATATCTTGAAGTTATTAAAAATAGTGATTCTGAGCACTTTGTATTGGGATTAAGCTTTTACATTGAAATCCGAAATAATTTGTATTTAGATGGTTGAAACCCACTAGATTATTTGGATACTTGCAAAACATTGTTTTATCTTCCACAGCCAGACGCCCGGTGTGTTCTCAAGCAAGATAGCACGTAATAAGACAACCCGCCATTATCGGGATTCTAAAGTGGGTCAAACACGACCTCAGGGTACATTGAGATGATGGGAAATAACTAGGATGGGGCCCTGGCGGGTTTTGCTGTCCCTTCGACACGCCCGGGCTGACTTCGGATCGGCGCTCCGTTGCCAACACCGGCACGCGGCAGTGTCGCTCACCGACGATACCCGGTTGCAAAAGTCACCAGGTTGCACGGGACCGCATGCGTTGATGAAGCAGGCCCCGATCCCCCCGAAGTGCCCAGAATCCTCGGCCCCAGTCCCAGAGAAATCACGATGCTGTTCGCTTGATCGGGCTTCCTGGAAGCATCGAGATTAACCCTCATCGCGTTTTTACTTTTGCCGCAATTGTGAGGATCGGATCGCTCTGTCTTTTGTGAGATTTTTTTTTTTTTTATTATTATTATTTTTATTGTTTTTGTATTTGGAATAATTGGCAGACAAAGTCATGGTATGAGTTGAGTCTGTAGCGAGGGGAGAGTGTTGTTTGACGCAGGTGGCGGTGATGGGGGTGGTCGGTGTAGATATTGTTGCCGCTGCTGCTGATGATAATGATGGTGATGAGAGGATATTCATACACGCATGTTCGGTTGAGTGAATCGTAGGTTCGGGAGTTACGGGGATGTAATTGGTATCATAATTGAGGCGGTGCAGCATTGTCTCTTTTATGAGCGTCTCTTTTTTTCCAGTTTGGTTCGACGGAGTTTGCCTAATTGGCGCTGGTAAATATAGACTGAGCCTTGAGGAGGAGGAGGAGACAAGGGGAGGGTTAGGAATTGGCCCTCTTTGAGGTTGATAGGGTTATGTGTGTGGTTTTTGTGCCTGGTGTGTCGAGCACTGTCCGGTTGTTGTTTCCTTCTTTGCCTGGTGAATGACGGAATTGGGCCTTTTTCAGGAAGGGTTCTTTGAGAGTTTGGGTGACGAGGCACGGTGGGAAGAAGGGTTGTGGGATTGAGGGCGGTTCGGTCAAGATCAGAACGCCCTGTTTGTTTGAAGCGAGAAGGAGCGATGGGAGGATCGGATTTTAAGGAGTTTGAATTGGTGGAAGATGGCGTGGATTGGGAGGTGGAGAAGGAGAAAGAGAAGACGAAGGAGGTGGTCAAGTTGCCGAGTACGCCCGTGCTCGTTGGCCGCACTGGGAATGGTAAGAGTGCGACTGGGAATTCGCTTCTGGGGAGCACGGTCTTCAGGTCGCGTGCTTCGTCTGCGGCTGTCACGTCCACATGTGAGGTTCAATTAAATCATCTTGAATTTTTATGTGATAATGGGCACTATCTATCACAGTTAATTGGCTTTTGCAATTCCATCCAACTTGTTTTTCTTTTTACCTTTCCAGCAATTGGTCATCACATTTGACTGTACACAATAATGTTATGGGAATTACTAATGTTTGGCATTCCATGAACTAGTTTGTATTTTACAGTATCCATGAAATTATATGGGTATTGGCAATATGGTTTTCCTATCACAATCAATATTGTATTTAAGTTGTCAAAAATCAACATTACATGCATTTAATTGAGGTCCAATCTTTGTTCTGAAGGATTCTTCAAGTTCCATCATACTAACTGTAAAATTGCCAAAAAGAATGGAAATTTCTTTTCAGCATCAGCACAAACTATACCAAAATGAACTTATTTAAATAAATACTTAAAATAAATTCATCGGAATAACTGAAGAGATGAATGCATAACAATGCAGATACTTTTAGAAAAAGTCTTTCAGTTTTCTTTTTCTTTATTTGTACTATTCAAACAAAATTAACTTGAAAGCATTAGATCCTATTTCACCAATTTCTGAATTACCACAAAGTAACTTAGGCAATCAAAAACTTCATTTGATTATTTATCAGTAAACTCGTTTAATTATTGTTGTATATAAATATGTTTTTTTTTAATTCCTTCAATTTTATTTAGTTGTATAATATGAAATCGGGATTTTATAATCCTCTTATCATATCTTGTAAGTTGTTTAGAGTCAATACAAAAACATTCAAGTATATTTGCCATAATAAACTAAAGAGTATTTTGTATAACTACAGAGCTTGTTTAAGTGTATTTATTTAAAACAGACCATTTTACTTTTTAAAAAAATGTTTTTGTATAATTAGAAGATCAGTAATTTTTTTTTTTTTGTAAAGATAAACATCTTATGAAAAAATAAATTATTTAGAAGAGAATGATTTGGAATCTTTATAATATAATATCTATTCACAAAGAGAAAAATAATAATATGTGCATTTAAATATAAATAAAGAGTTGAAATTGAATTCGTTAAATAAAACACCAAACAAATCTAGTTGCAAGAAGTCTGATATGTTCGATATTTATTAGAGATTTTGTAATCAATTAGATATTTTGATTGTATTATTTTTTTAATGTTTGCAGTATAAAATTTTTAAAATTTAATTACAAAATTTAATTTGTGATATATGCTTTTATATTCATATAACCCATGTGTTCCTTTGTGAATTATTATTTTATATACAATCATAGAAATAGACTAGATGTAAAATAATAATAATGATAATTGTTTTGTAGTTTTTTTTTACTTCAGTAATATTTATTTTTTTATTCTTCTTTCATTTTCCTTTTGGTTAATAAATTGTACATAACAAGTACCTACTTCAACCTCAAAGTGAGATATTTTGAGTAGGTTTTTTATTCGATAGGCATTGCATTATAGTATTTAATAATGATTATTGGTTATTAAAATTGAGACACATGTATATTACCAAAACTTGTTATCAACAAGAAATAGTAATTTACTTGATATAATTAGAATTTCATAATGAATATTTCATAATGTAAAATATATTATAATTGTACGTTTAACACTACAAATAATACAGGTTAACACATATTGTACATCTTAGCAGTACAACTCTTTAGAAAACATTGTGAATAATATTGATTTGTCACATTGATATTTAATCTCTTGCAACCAGATTTTAATATCAAGCTACACATGTTTACAAATTTCATTAAATTTTGATCTTTGAAAATGTATAATTTTTCAAAGTTCAATTTTAAATTTGGTGATTGCCATAATTACGAACTCAATATTATAAACTATTGAAAACAAGAATAATGTTGAATGCCCTTTTGAGTGTTAGTTTTTTGCATTCATAAGTATTCCAAATAAAAGTCTTTCTCATTCATTTGTAATGCTATACACATTTGTATATCTTATTATTTATTATTGTTATGTATCATAAAAAGCGAGTTATTCTAATTAATCTTAGATCTGAAAATGAGATTATCTATTTCTTTGCTTTATTTTTGCATTATATCAAATTTCTTGATCCAGTTGCAGTGAAGCAGAATTGTGAAGATTACTATTCAAAACATCTCCAAAGTTTCAAAATCAAGAAAAGCTAAATAATATAAATATTTAATTCTGGTATCTGAAGGAGACATGGGGACATGATAATATATATGTTATGGTTTTGGAATATTTTTGATTTCATAATTTCTAAGAGGAAATTTATTAAGTCAAAAATATTCCAAAACCTTAACTCACAAAAATTTAAGTTGCACTTGATTTTTTTTTTTTTTTTTTTTTTTTTGTTTTGTTTTGTTTTGTTTTGTTTTGTTTTTTTGTTTTTTTATGGAATAAATCATGTTAAGTTGGCCATACTTCTTCACCAACTTATGAAATATGTATTTTCTGTATTCTTTTATTACTTTCGTATGAATTTGTTTTCAGGGATATTGAAAGATATGAAAAATAAGAATCTTAATTGCTGAATTTCAAAGCAGAATTAAATAATCAAAATATATTTAAAAATAAATAATAAAAAATCATCTGAATCAAGTTCTCCACAGAGCAATAATATGCATAAATTTGGAACACGTGGTTTGAAATTCACTTCAATGTAACAACTCTATGACTAATCTTATCAGTTATTATCATGCATGTAAAACAGGGGATCACGAAGTATGTGTTTTCAAATGCTCCACAAAAAAATATTAATACGTAAAAGCATAAGGAAAGCTATAGTGTATCATATAATTATAAATAATATAAATTTACCCCGAATTAGTAGATTGTTATTTTGAAATTGTTTCACAAAAAAATATTTTACTTTATTTATAAAGATACTGATTGTGGAAACCAACGTAATTATATTTAATGTACTTTATATTGTGTACTTTTTCAAATTTGCACAGTATAAAAATCACTTGTGAGTTCTTGTTGGTTTTATTGTTTGATGTTGTGAACTAAATTCATTATTTCTTAATAATATCCTAAACCTCAAAACCAATTCACACTATTATGTACACAATGTTTGTTTGAAATAAAACCTCTAAATCATCAAAGAGATTTCACTAAAAGTTAAGTTCATTAGTTGGATATTGAACTACAAATAGTCCCAAGAATGTTTATTCTATCTTTTCTTAAATTTTAACATCCAATAATAATTAAATATACATATTTCTAACAAAACCCACCAAAGTAGATGTATAAATAACTCAATTCATGTATAACTTATCCAGTAAAAATATGATACAAAGTAATATGTGATTAACTAAAACAAAGATATAACCATCTTATGATTCAACTGAACATAATATTCAATGTACAAATCAGGCAACCCTTAAATTCCTTATAAATCTTTTTAACAAATAAATATCATCTTGAACATTATTATTGCCTTATTATCACCTTTTTATTTATGATCAGTTCCTCTAGTTCTGGAGGAAGAGAAGCATTGCAATTAAATCCCAATATAAGTGATCTAAAATGGGGTAAGAAAGCAAGGCTACTTGGCAATTCAGAGAGTGAATCACACCATGTTACATCCAATTCTACGAGATTAGGAAAGCTGTCAAAGCTTAGATGCTCATGCTCCAAATTCTTGAGGTTGTAGCAAGAACTTAGATCTAAGGTTTGTAAGTTCTTCAATTTTGCAAGTGATTGTAGAAGGATATCAAACTTCTCCAAATCTCGTAAATGAAGATATTTAAGACATGCCATTGCACCATCCTCCAACTCTGACAACGATGCAAGTTTCTTACATCTATCGAAATTAAATCTTACGAGAGCTGGAAAGCCATCTTTTCTACCAAAAGAAGTTGGTATAGTCTCTAAAACAACACAATCATAGAAACTCAAACTCGCCAAAGCTGGAAGACGATCTAGAGCTGGGAGTGAGACCAACGTTGGACACCATACAGTGAGGGATTTCAGATGTGGGAGGGAACATAAAGAGTCTGGAATAGAAACAAACCCCTCACATCGAAGCCAAAGGCATTCCAAGTGCTGCCAGTCATCACTCCTCAACTCTGGAAACTCTGTAAGTTGCCAACCTAGTCCTCCTCCTCCATTCAAATTTGTAAGTTGCCAACCTCCATGCAACTCCAACTTCAACGTCTGGAGCCTCTTCGACGCAGTCAGCAATTCAACTGGCAACGGCACCAAGTCAATATAACTTCTCTCGATACTCTCCACATCAAAATGTTCCAAGTGTTCAAAATCGATTGTCAAATGTTCCAAGCCAACGAAGGCGACGAGGTCTCGCAAAGCTAATTTTCCTCTCAACATTTTGGGAAGTCCCTCCCAAAGACCCCTACTCCAGAATCTGCCACCTGCACCAATCTTCAGAATACGCAACCTGGTGAGGTGAGACAGCTTGGAAGGTAAGTGACTGAGACGTTCACACCGTTCAAGATACAGCTCCTCCATGCCAGTCAACTTCCCGATTGACTTTGGGAGCGTCTCTATACCCGTCTCAGACAAATTGAGTACTGCCAGAGATTTTAGTTCTCCCACACTCTCCGGCACCGCCTTGAATTCAGTCTCCCTCAGATCCAGAACTCGGATACTGCAAAGATTGTTGAAGAATTTCTTAGGAATACACTCCAACGGATTCTCTCGTAACAGAAGAACCTCCAGCTTCCCGGCATCCAGTTGGGCAGGTAGCTCCTTCAGATTTGTCGACATGACCGACAACCAGCGAACTGAAAGTCTAGTCCTCCTCACTCTGCCTGGATCCTTGGTGTCAGAAGAACTTGCCCATTCACGAGGAAATCCATCCTTCATCTCTCGCCCTGCCTCATACAGGTTCTCTCGCTCGGTCACGGCTTTCTCATGCTGCACTGTGTGCCGCGCCAGGTCCCGAAGAATATCGTGCACCATGCAGTACAATCCACCCCATTCATAGCATTCGAGCTCAATCAGCGAGCGGGAGACCAGCACGCCCACCAGCCCACACGCTTCTAGCTTCGGATCATACTCAGACTTCTGTCCCACAATCCCTTCCGCTCTCCACAACGGCAGCAAATCCTTGTATACGTCGACTTTCCAATCCTCTGGAAATGCAGCAAAGTACAGAAAGCATTCTTGCAATCTTCCATCGATACTTCCAAGCTCGTCGAAACTTACTTTCAGTCGATTGAATAGCTGTGTTTCGTGACCTTTGTCTAGAACATCCGCGTTCCTCAGCTTCTGCAAACACAACTCCCAGAATCCCCGATCAGTTTTCCTTGCAAACACACTCCCAATCACTTTCAGCGCCAGCGGAAGCCCACCACATTCGCCCATCACGTCCTTGGCTAGCTTTTCCAGCTCCGGGGGCACATGAGACGTCCCTCGAAACGCTTGCCAGCAGAACAACTTCCAGCTGTTCTCTTCATCTAGCAACACGAATGCGAGCTTCGTCACATGGTTTTTGTCCAACACCTCCTCTATGCGAGTGGTGACCAGGATTTTGCACCCCGCTCTTAAGGGGACCACAGATATCACCAAGCGTAGCACATCTTCTTTCCAGACATCGTCCAGGACAACCAGCATGTTCTTCTTATCCTTGAGCTCATTACGTAGCTGTGCTGTCAAATCTTCCATGGGAATGTTCCGGCGAACCTCTGACCGACCAGTGATCTTCTTTCAGAGGCCTAGAAAGAGGCTCCGTACAGACGAGTCTCCACCGACAGTGAACCAGAAGCAGCCTCCTGTGAAGTGCGCTCGGATGGCGTCGTCATCGAAGACTCGCTGAGCGGCAAGCGTCTTCCCGGCCCCGCCTGATGCCCAGAACCCTACCATGTGCGTGATCTGGTCCAGTAACAATTTCTTTGCTTCTTCCACATTCCCATCTCCTCCAAACACCGTCTCGCTGTCCACGCCGCGCAGCATGTCAGTGGAGGTGGAGGCTTCTGGCGAAGCTCTAGTGTATGTGGAAGTCAAGTGGATTGTATTCGCTTCACTTGTGATAGACGATATCTCAGCCATCACATCTTCTGGGTTTCTGTATCCGTATTGAAACTTGTCAAGTGCCTGTTTGGTAGCACAAGCCATCTGCAGTAGCCCCTCTATCTCAGAGCGAACCCCCTTAAGCACTTCTTTGTGTTCATCGAGCCGCTTAATAAAATTTGTAGAAGTCGCCGAGGACACTGCCAACCCCACAAGTGAAGCTTGTGACAGAATGTTGCTCAGCAGCTCCTTCTCCTTCACTAGCTTCCTTGAATTTTTGAACTGAGAAATAGTGAAACGATTCCCCTTCATGTCAATCAGCAGGAGCTCCAAGCACTCTAACCTCGTGCGCAAACCCTTTAACCAATCACCCACCGCTCGGTTAGCGGTAGTTGGATTAATGTTATCCACCATCGGCTTTAGCCTTATCAGCATCGCCTGCAGCTCCTCCGCGTGCTTGTTGCGGTTCCATTCCGGAAGCGCCACCTCCTTCACCATCGCCGACAGAAGTTTTTGCACCATTGGTTGCAGGACGGTTAACGCCACAGCTTCCGCCATTCGTAGATGGGGCACCGTCTCAGAACTCGATGTTGTAGATATGGTGTTAGAAGTAGAGGAATTTAAATAATCAGTGCAACACCACTGTCAACAGCCAGACAAGCCAATACTGTGCACTCCTGCAAACCTCTCGGAAGCGATCATGACTCGGATCTTCGTTTGAAAGGCCGATCGAATGAGTATTTGGAACCTGAGTTGTACATGAACAGAGAATATCGAAGGCGAGGTCGCGAGACCCAACTAGCCGCAGCAGCACCGAAGTGGAGCCTGGCCAGGGCAGGTTGCAGACAACTTGGTGACTGTGCTACTGCCAAACCCTACGAGCGGTCTGCATTTGAAACCCATCCTCGCTGAGGTAACGCTGCATTGCGACCTGATCCTGCCTCAGCATGCTACTGCAGCCATGGCGGGGCCCCGCAAACTGTGCTTTTGAATTGTTCGTTCACTTCTTACTTAGGTATCGCAGCAGGTATCCTCCTTACAACATCGACCTCACATCATCGTCAACAGTGCTGATGCGAGCTGTGGACTTTGCAGTATTATGTAGTGGCTTGGTCTCAAGTGACTGCAAAATCTCATGACTGCTTCGACGGCGTTCAGCTGGATCATTACTGCTATTGGTGGTTTTGAGTTGTGAGCTGGTGTTGTAGATTTCCTCGCATCACTGCTTCGACGGCGTTCGTGCCTGTTATCGTCACAGCGTCCGCCAATGTTTAGATCTTAAGGCCATTAAAATTAGATCACTTTCTACTCCAACTTTGAACCTTGTTACATGTTACATGTTCTTTGTTACATGTTACATGTAAACATATACAGATCTTATTTATTTGAAGCGTTCGAATCTCAAACATTTAACAATGCTAAGAACTGATTTGAATAAAAATAGACACACACACTAGATTTCTTATTTTTTTGTTTTTTTTCAAAAATCAGGCATGGATCATCAACATATCAACTGTAATGTTTACTTATTTTCAACTTGCTTCCTAAACCTACGAATTTAAGGAAAATACATGTGTATCTATATATTGAGGGCACACAGATGTGTAGTATAAACAATATATTTACTACTAAATTATCGGTCTTACATCTTGGCTGGAATGGATTAGCCACCACAAATACAGCATTGCATGATCATTAGTATTGATAGTTATCCTTATTGCATCCAACTTAACGGAGGGATGAAGAAATTTGACATTTATACACAAATATGACAAAGTTGTCAACCACTAATTGAGTTGTAAGCATCATAACACAAGATATTTCAACAATCGAAGTGGTTTTATTTGAAAATACAGTCAGGTGTTTTGGAGTGGAAGTGAAAATTGTTTCTTCAAATCGAATTAGATTTTTCATTTTTTGAAGCAGCATTGGCTAGTTTTGGGACATTGATATTTTGGAAGATTGTGAATTATCAAAAGTTGCAACATCAGAGGCCCAATTTGTTAGAAGGAGACTGAAAATTAAATAAGTCTTGGGAGTTTTTTTTCTTCTACTTTACCCCTTATCAATGCAAGTAATACATATCTTACAAAAATTCTACCATCTTAGATTTTCAAATGACCAAGTTTGTATTAATTTTTGTAATGTTATTTAAACCAAAAGTGATATATATATATATATATATATATATATGTATATAACTTTAAATATAAAGAAAAGAAATGATTAATTTATAAGTTTGAATTATTGATATTTAATTATTGATTTTTTCTTTTGATACAAGTGGATTTTAATTACTTATTGTAGTTGATTGAAGCAAAAGTTTTGCTAGACAATGAAATAAGAATTTTTTAGAAACCTTGAAAGATCTTGCTTGTAAAATAAAAACTAAATACAATCCATTTCTTTAAGCCTCCTTTTGTAAAATTTATTGGAAGAAGGAACTAAAAACATTCATAAGCGTGTTTAGTTTTTTAGTTGATAATATGTGGCTTTAAAGTAGTGGAATTTCCAACCAAATTCAAATCATGCTTAATCGTACAAGACTATCAAGAACATGAATTCAAAGAAGATACATAAACTGGAAAATTTGTGTTAAAAGAAAAGTGAAAAAATAGCAATAAAGTAGTATGTATATTAAAAAGAAACTGGAATGGCTATTGCCAAAAAACAAGGAAACTAGAGACTCTTAAATCTAGACTAAAAGTAAGAAAGAAATTGTTAAGAGTGAAGAAGGCTTCACTCTTGCCTCTATATATACTATCTAACTAAGAGCTATGTGGCGATATTCTATAAGACCTCTAATATATATTGACTTTACAAGACACATGCCTTAGCTTACAAAGCAAGTTTTCTATATGTGGGCCACATAATTAGCTTGTTTTTCAAACTACCAATATGTGTGGTACATGGCCAACTTGTTTACCATGTTTATAACCTAAAAAGTTATTTATAGATATATATAAAGTCAAAGCAATATCTATAAAGCTTCTAAGAAGCTTTTATAGAAGATATTATAAAATTAACTTATTTTTACCGACTTTTATCTAATCATATTAGTAATTATAGTTTACATGCATATGTTGGTGATATTATCCCGCCTTCAAGGAACAAGTTCTACAATGAGTGGTCATCATATGTTCATCATATGTTGAGGATATTCAAGATGCAATGAATTGTATTTTTTACATACTCTGATCTTTGTTTTCTTTGAAGATGGTTGATAGGATCTCTCAACCATTGATAGTATCCCATACCAAGGTGGAAAGACCACCCACTTATTTGATTATTATTGAAGTCTTTATAATTTCTTTTAAATAAAATATTTGGAACATAATCAAGAGTTGTTCCTACTTCTAGTAAAATCACCAAACATTAGGAGTCTCTTCTAAGGTAGTTATATCAAATTCATTGTATTTTGCCATCTATTTGAAGAAGAGCATGTCGTTCTTGTTGATCTTCATGTCGATTGTGTCTTCTTGAAGGTTGTGACATTTGTAATATCTCGTCTTACAAGTGAACAAATAAAAGCTCATGAGTTGAATCTATTGGTTATTGGTTTTTTATTTCTTTAATGTCACAAATATATACAAACTACAAACAAATATTGAAAGTATAATATAATCTTTCCTAGACCTTGTTTCTTTTATAGCAAACTTACTATTCTTTATCTTGATTTTGACGGATTTCAATGATGAAAAGCCTCCACCACCTTTGTTGCATTATAAGATTCTTTACTTGCTCCTATGTGCATTCACTAATATCATATCTGTACCAATGGACAAGTGTCAAGGATATAGATATTTACCTCCATAGTTACTTATATGATTAGATAGAAGTAGGTAAATATAGATTAATTTCATAAAGACTTCTAGCAAAGCTTCCTAAAAGCTTTATAAATACAATTTTGACTTTAGATGTATTTATGAATTGAAAACTTGACCAATAAGTTAACCATGTGTTGGTAGCTTGTGGAACAAGTTAACTCTATATAGTACTTTAAGAATTAAGCCAATTATGTGGCGCATACATAGATAACTTGCTTTGTAAGCTAAGACATGAGGCTAGCTAAGTCAACACGTTTTAGAGGTCCTGTAGGACAACGCCATGTAGCTCCTAGTTATGAATATATTTCGAGGCAAGAGTGAAGTCTTCTTCACTCTTGTCAATGCCGTTCTAGTCTTTAGTCTTGTTTCAAGACTTTCTAATATTCTTATTTTTATTAATAGCCATTCTATTTAATATTATATTACCTCTTGTGTGACTTTTTAGTTGTCTTTAGTGACACAAGAGTGTATTGAGGATTCTGTTTCTTTGAGATTTATATCCCTGTCAATTTGATAAGAATGCTAACATACTGTTTCTGTCTTGTTTTAGAAGTGAGTGAATTATCCTACTTCTATTGCTGTGTTTTGAAGGTTGTAGACTACTCACCTGTTAAAAAAAAAATCTTGTTTTCTAACATTGATCTTTCTTTAAAGAGAGTGGATTACTCCTCTTTATAGAAATTTTTATTAGAGGTTGTAGATTACCCTCCTCTAATTTAACTTTTTGGAGTTGTATAAGTTGCCTATGGAAGGAAAGATTATGGATGCTACTCCTAGTGGAAGTGAGAATAGATTTAAAACTATTGCAGATCTTCATGAGCTTGTCAATATTCTTAGAGTAAAAATCTTATGTATTTTTAATGTAAATCATGGAAGTACTATGCCTACGCCTATGGAAGAAGTTTAGCGACTGCGACAAGAGGTTGTGTAATTGAAGAAAGCAAGTAGATTGACCTCACAACCAAATCCAGGGAGTTTTGCTTCTACAAGTATGAAAGGAACAAGGATTAGTATGCTTAAGAAGTTTGATGGAACAAGATCAAAATTTTGAGGATTTTTGCAACAAGTCAAGTTCTATCTAAGGTTGCATGCTTTCCAATACCTTCATGGATTTATTCAAGTTGGATTCATAGATGCACTTTTATCAGGAAATGCCCTCTCTTGGTTTGCATCTTTAGTGGAAAAAGATTCACGACTCCTTTATGATTTGAATTCATTTCTAGAAGTGTTTATGGCCATATTTGGAAAAAATAATCGAGAACGAGTAGTAGAGACCAAACTCTTATCTTTACAACAAGAATCACAATTAGCCACCACATATGTTGTTGAATTCCAAAACCTTGCTTGCCATGTGGATTAGAATGACAAATCACTTATTAATCAATTTTGATATAGATTGAAGGATAGTGTCAAAGATTTATTATTAAAAATATCAAAAGTAAAATCTTTATAATAATTTATTATTCAAGCCATTACATGGGACAATTAATTATTTGAAAGGCATCAAGAACAAAGACTTGGTTGGAGAGGAATAAGTTAAGTAATGGAGATAGCTTCCAAGTTTTCAAAAATGTATTCATCAAGGCCAAAACCAATGCAAATTGATATAATACGTTTTAAACCTCTCACGGATCAGGAAAAGATTCAACGTTGTCAGGAAAGTTTGTATTTATACTATAGAGAAGCTAAGCACACTACTCAATATTGTCCAAAGAATCAATACAATTATAAAATGAGGAGCACAATTATCAAAGAAGCAACACAATTATAAAATGAAGAGCACAATTA